GGAACATGTCAACAGTGGACATGACAGACAACGACCTGGCCAAGGACCATCTGCACCACCTCGTGGGCGGGCGCTCGTCCCTCCTCCTCTGTGTCTCTGTCTTAGAGGCAACTGCAATTTCCGTCATCCCCCTTTTTCCCCTCTCGCCATCTCCCCTATCCCCGGCGTCGGCGTGCACACAGAGGAAGACCTAGAAGCCATGATCACGCGATTGGAAAGCGGAGACATGCCAACAGTGGACATGACAGACAACGATCTCGCCAAGGACCATCTGCGCCACCTCCCCTCCCCCCCTCCCTTCCTCTTTCTCTCCCCTCAGTGTTGGAGTCCACACAGAAGAGGACTTACAAGCCATGATACTTCGTCTGGAGGATGGAGACATGCCAACAGTGGACATGACAGACAACGATCTGGCCAAGGACCATCTGCGCCACCTTGTGGGCGGGCGCTCGTCCCTCCCCAACGAGATCCTCTTCCGCTTCGTCTTCCCTGAGCGGCCCGGCGCGCTCGTCAAGTTCCTGGACCCCATCAGTCCCCGCTGGAACATCACGCTCTTCCACTACCGCCGCACCGTGAGTCCTCTGAACTCTCAGCTGCGTTGTTGGCTCTTGTTTCACCTGGTAAGGCCAGCCATAGTGGCGTTGGTTCACAGCCCCATCTGTGCTCGTCAAGTTCCTGGACCTCATCAGTCCCCGCTGGAACATCACTCTATTCCACTACCGCCGCACGGTGAGTGATCGTAGAAGGTGGCTCTGGGTGGTGGTTGGCAGGCGTGGAGCAGGTGAGTGAGTGGCGCCGTGGCGGTTTAGTGCCGGTTCCCATACCCACAGCCGCATCACTCCTCTTGAAGATCCTGGATCCTATCAGCCCGCGCTGGAACATCACTCTCTTCCACATCCACGGCACCATAAGCTTCTTTTATTTTATTCGATTTGATCAGTCTCAGGTGCTGACTCATGGGTCATGACACGTGGCAGAGCAGAATCTTGGGCAAAGCTTTTGAGTCGACCTAACTGTCAGCTGAGGAGTTGGGAGCATAGAGTCGAGGTGCTGTTTCATGGATCGCAGCAGAGCAGAATGTTGCGCAGAGCAGGGCAAAGCTGACTTGTGACGTATGCATCCTCCCCTCCTCACTGTGTTTTCCCTCCCTGTTGCGTCACTCCAGGGGGAGATGATCGCGCATGTGCTGGTGGGGTTGCAGGTGATGCCTCACGAGGAGGCGGAGTTGAGAGGAGAGAGCAGCGGACTCACATTGCTTCTGCTCCCCGCTTTTCCCATGCTCCCCCCTCTTGTCAATTCAACCTCAGGGGGAGATGATCGCGCATGTGCTGGTGGGGTTGCAGGTGATGCCTCACGAGGAGGCGGAGTTCAGAGCAGTGGCGGACGCGCTAGGGTATGAGTACAGTGATGAGAGGAACAACAAGGCACTGCGCATCTTCATGCAATAGTGGGGGTGTTAGGCAGTTGCCTCGCTTGTTGAGAATGCTCTGGGGTACGAGTACAGTGACGAGCGCAACAACAAGGCACTGCGCATATTCATGCAATAGAGGGGATATTTGTGAAGTCACATCACCTTGCAGTCACGGGTGCTCTGGAATACTGCATTAGTACAGTGATACGGTAGGCGGACCAACAATACACTGTGCACTTTCATGAAATAGAGGATATTTAGGACGGTTACATTACGAAAGAGCTTCAGTGCTAAAGGGGAGAGCCTAAACAAAAGGGATGTACAACCGTGACAAAACACTCAATTGATAAGCAAGCTGGTTGTACACCTACAAAACATATTGTAGGTGGGATGGGATGGGATGGCCATGCCTTGGAAATAGTTGGGAGAATCTCATCACCAGTGCAATCACACAATTGATAAGCAAGCTGGTTGTACACCTACAAAACATATTGTATACAGTGTAATACAATATCATATTCACATGCAACAAGCACACAAGAGTGTTGAAACATTGTATCGTGGTAAAACTTCAGAGGTTGCTTGTGGTTCCTCTGAGAATTCTCAAAAGTGACATACGGTAGTTCAGGGACGACCAAGGTTCAAGCGGTTGTGACATCAGCCGCAGGGACCTCCGGGTGCCTGGCAGCCCACCAATCAATGAACTTGAAATTGGCATCCATGGAACTGAACTTGTACAGGCCCAGACCTATGTTGGCCGCCTCTTCTGTAACCGCCCAGCTGGTAACCGCACCCACCACGAGCGTGAGGAACGCACCTGGGATATGGAACATGTGGGGTGGGGGCAGCAAGGACCAACACAGTTTGAACTTTGAGGTACACGAGGTGCATGTGGGACCCGAGCCCTGCTGCTTGGGCCATGGAGTGAGATGCGGGGGGGATCGAATGTGAGATGAATCTCATTCTTACGCATGATCATTCATACACCAGGGAATGATATCACGCATACCCTGTTCGATTCGCATGATTACTCTGTTCGAACATGCATGATGCATCACTCCCTCGAATCACTTCCTCTGTTGGACATCCATGTATGCATGCATACGTGCAACTCTCCTCTCCCCTAAACACTCACCCTCCATTGCTCCACAAGTACCGGTAGTTGTATGCTGAGAGCGTCAGGTCCCACGCTGTAATATGACGACCTTTGAGCCCCTCAAGACCGCCCCCCCTCTCCAACACCCTCCATCCCCTCACCCGCTGCCCCACACTCACCCCCAGCGCTCCGCGAATACCGGTAGTTGTACGCCGCGAGCGCCAGCCCCCCAACCGCCGCACCGCCAGCCGCCATTAGCGACGCCTGGCGCGACAGCAGCACCTGCGCGGGGGGGAGGGAGCGCGTGGGGCGAGGGGGGAGAGAGCGCGGTGGGGGAGGGGAAGGGCGGGATAGAGAAGGGTGCGAGAGATTAAGAGCGAACTCGCGCACCGACCAGCTGGTAAGGGCGTATCAGATCTGGTCACGGCGCACCTGTAATAGAAACGCGTCTTTTTTTTCACCTCCAGGCACCGCACCTGCCGTCAACCGCACCTGGTTGCCGCTACCGCACCTGCTTGCCGCTACCGCACCTGCTTGCCGCTACCGCACCTGGTTGCCGCTACCACACCTGGTTGCCGTGAACGGGATCCTCCTTAGCGAACGCCTCGATATCCGCTTTAGTCCAGCGAGGCAGCGGCGTCTCGCGGCCCTGGCTGAGATCCAGCAGGCGGTTCACCGTGGGACAGCTCTTCGCTTCGCCGTCGCCGCTCTTCTTCATCCACCACGGCGTGTAGCCTGACGCCATGCTCGTGATTATAACGAGATGTGACTAATTTTGGGGTGGCTGTTTGGATATTGATGAGATCAGAGTGGATTGCTGGATGTTGGTGGTCACGCGGAAGTTGACGGTGGGAAGTGAAGAAGCGGAGAGGACGACGGGCAACCGGTAAGTCGTAACGACCGACAAGTGCGGGCAACCAGTGAACGAGCTTCTGCGGCTGCGCGACTAATTCGTGGCTTTTCCGTGGAATTTCCCTGACTATGCCACGGAACCCTAAAATGTCTTACTTCCTCTCAACCCTACTCAACCGTCCTGGAACAGGGAATCTCCGTGGTAATGCGGAAGCGGAGCGAGGCGGAGAGGTCTCCGAGCTCCGCAAGCTGGAGTGCGCATGCGCAGTCTAGCTTACGCGGAGATTGTTTTCTGCCACGCGCGCTGTCTGGATGTCCGTGGAGAGCGGGAAGAGGGTGCTTCCTAATTGGTTGGGCCAGTGCGTTGGGGGGAGATGATCAAAATGGGGCCGAAGAGTGCCAGAGGAACGACCGAAGTAGGGCCAAAAAAACTCGACCGTAGGATTTTCGACCCCGAGCTGCCCAAGAGGCTAGGCAAACAAGCCGAGCCGTAACTAAAAGAGAAAAGCTACCAGCACCAAACTTTGTGTCCAACTTCTTGAAAAAATGGATACGACCGCCGTCTACTACTACGCGCACATCGCGTTCTTCTGGAAGTAAATATTGCTGTGTTAATTTGCCAGTCCAAAAAAGTCATTATGGGTGATAAATATCACTCCCTGATTGGAAACGCGCAGGAAAAAAAAATATTACCCATTCGGAAATGGATGCGACTAGGGAGGCATCAACCCTAAACACAACTGAGGTTCCCGTTTTTAGGGTTGATCCATCCCGAAAATGCGTCCAGGTTTCCCTGAGGGTTTGAGTTTTTTGGCTGCCCTAAGAGTTTCTGGCTTGCTAAACGACGCTATTGGGTGGAGGGTGATGAATCAGTAAACACTTCCATGTAAAATGACGCGCGAGCGAAAATGCAAACTGTTAACGGACATACGTTCGATAAATGATAACCCTCTGTAAATAACTTTTAAAGCAGTGGTTTGGTTAGTTCCGGGCCTCTTGGCCCTTGTTCGAACACCTCCTTGGCACTGTTCGGCCCCTGTATGATCTTCTCCCTGCGTTGGGTCCTGGCGTGGCATGACGTGGAAGTGGGCCAGAAAAGCATTTACATCTTTCATTAAAGACAATGTCTTAGAAATATGTATCCAGGATTGCATTAGAGCTGCGTGTATCTTTAGAGAACAGAGTCCAACAGTTGGGGAGAGAGACAAAAGCGAGGATGAACTCTGATTTTGAGTCTTCAAATTCTGACCCAAAGCTCTGTTTGAAATCATTTTGCAGGTTTGATTGATCGTTGGCTTCGCTGATTTGTCTGTTGCCTCTCCGCATCGCACCGCATCTGACAGCTTAGCAGTTTTTCCCACTGCCTCGCCTCGCCTTAGTCTAAGACTGGAACCTACCTCGAACCTTAATATCAAAACCCCGGCTCCGCTTCTATCCTCCTGCACGTATCTAGGCGCGCCGTTCAGTCACTTTCCTTCGCAGAGTCGGCGATTCATCCGTGCCTCGGGCGAGTAATACAACGAGAGCAGGCTACAGCCGTTCTTAACGCAGTCGGAATAAAACCGTTCGTTAAACTAATAGCCCGCATTTGTCACCTTGTCGGTTCCTCGTGCGGCATCTACTACGCTGATCGGCGATCCAATGGCGGAAGGGAAGCAGGCGAAAGTGGAAGCAATCACCCTCAAAGTTGTCGCCCAGGTGAGTTCGTCTCACGAGGTATCTTCTGAACTTGCATTATCTTATACATTCGGAAAGCCTAGCAATTGTTCACGCACCTTAGAAGTTGCCGCCGCGAATGCTTGTTTGCATCAATGGCCGTCGATGAGCCGACCTAGCATGCCTTTTGTTTCTACCTTTTTTTACTCTCGAAAGACGCGCCGATTGTTTCCTTCCCACTGTAACGCTCTCGTGTTGCCTTCCTTCGCTCCGACTTCCTCCCCTGCTGGGCCCACAGGACGGAACAGAAGTGTCGTTCAAAGTGAAGCCGAAAACCAAGTTCAGCAAGGTAAGGGTGGACCAAGTGCCTAAGCTTCCCGGAATGACAAAGTGAAAAACGAATGTCACGTTTCGAGATGTCTCACAATCCAGTTTTAAGACGTCTCAGAGGGTGGACAATTCAACAAGGCCCCTGAAATGATTAAGAAGCAAAGAATACCCAGCAAGTCAATGGAGTGTGAAAGGTTCAAGGTCGACACGTAACCATGGTTCTTCCCATTCACTCCAAAACCTGATGCAACTCTAACAGCTAGAATGGGCTCCTCCGGAGGTACTATAAGCATTACGACCCTGACCTTCCGTTCAACCATAACGTTCCGCTTGTCTGCGGGCTTGCGGCTTTTCAGTATTTTGCATATTTCTCTCCCAACCGTTCTCCCCGTCCCCCCCTGCCCCCTCATTTACTGCAGTTATTTCAGGCGTACAGCGATAGAAAAGGGTTCAAGTTAGACACCATGAGGTTCCTATACCACGGGTGAGTGCCGCCCCCTGTACCACGGGTGAGTGCCGCCCCCTGTACCACGGGTGAACCTTATCTCATAGCGATTCCATCGTTGCGTGGTGCGTGGGAAGGGTTGGTGCTATGGGATTGGTTTGAATTGAAACGGAGACGAAAGTCATTGCGGGCCTATCATTTGGTTCCCGTGAAGCTTCACTTGCATCATTCTGTAATCGAGAGTTTTGACCCCCTTCGCTCCCGCCCTCCCTTTCCCGTTTCCTTCCCTTCCCTGCACTGGCTTTCCCTTCTCTTCCCCTTCCCCACTTCCATCTCCACCCCTTCCGTATCCTCCCCGTCCCTCCATCTAACTCCTTTCCTTCCGTTTCCTCGCTTTCCCCCTCTTCCCCTCCATTCCCCTCTTGTGTTCACGCACACTCATTTCCGCTCACATTGCATCTACAGTGGTCGAGTGCTGGGGGACAACACGCCTGCTGAGGTACGGGCTGTTGCAGCACACAACACTCTCTCCAACCCTTATTCTCCCTTTTCTGTTTCCCTCCGAATTGTGGGGTCGGGTTCGTTGCAGCCCATTCTGCGTTTCTTTCAGTGTCACCTAGTAGTGGGGGGAATTTGCAGGTTTGGGTACCACCATCCCCATCCTCACTCATCACATGCCACTGCACCAAACAAACACCTGATCTGACACTTGAGCCGACTCGAGATTCTTATTGCATGCCACTGCACCAAACAAACACCTGATCTGACACTTGAGCCGACTCGAGATTCTTATTGCATGCCACTGCCACACGCCTACACCTGGTCCGACCTCTGATTTCACTTTAAAGTCACATCACATCCCATGTCACTGCTGCACACCAATATCTGACATTTCTTCCCCCATTTGCATTTCTGCATCAACAGCTGGGCATAGAGAACAACGACCAGATCGAGGTGATGGTGGAGCAATTGGGAGGAGGCACGTGGCAGCAGCAGCAGTGCCGGTACCTTGTCAGATGACAGATACGCTGTCAGGCTTTTGTTCATTGACAGGCTGACATTTTTGCCTAAAAACAGGCTTACAGGCCTTTTACCCTTTTTAAGAAAACGGTTCATTTGGATAACAGGCGGGCTGTTTCCACTTGAACCCATTGGTTATCGCACTATGAATCCTGGCGGATTGTTCCTTCAGCAGGTTTCGGATAACTGTAGGTTTTTTAAAAGAAGTGTGTTCCTTTTTGCTTTGATCATTTATAGTGGATTTGCTGGACAGCAAGTTACTAGGTACATGGTGGAAAAAACCATGAAATTTCACCGTACCTGTTATTTTGCTGTCAGACTGCTTGATAGATTTTCAGGCTATGACATTCTGTAGCTGGACTGGAATTGCAATAAAGAGATTACAACTAGTCGATCTTCTGTGGAGACTCCAGTTACAAGGTTACATTGCATGGTCATTGCTGTGGGAGCAGGGGTAGCACCAGCAGCATCCAAGCACCAGTGGCAGCAGGGGCAGGGGTTCGCTGGTGGGAGTTTGGGAGCAGCAGAGGCGCCTTTCTTGCCAACAGAGGATGAGAGACAGGTACCAAAAAATGTCTCACACTGACATGTCTTCCCACCTTGCCCATAGGTGACAGAATTAAGGCTAACGGCACAGGTTACGATGTTTTTTCCCGACATGGGCAGAGGCAGCAGGGGCGGCAGCGCTAGCAGGGGGGGATGCTCGTGGGAGTTTGGGAGCGGAAGATTCCTTGCCGACCGAGGAGAGGTAGAAGGTTCAGAAGATGGCGCACACTGACATGCCTTCCATGTTACAGGGTAGCAGCACAGGTTACAACGCCGTTTCCTGATATGAGCACCTCTAGGCAGCAGCAACGGCAGGGGCAGCAGGGGGGGATGCTGGTGGGAGTTTGGGAGCGCCCTCCTTGCCAACCGAGGAGGACAGGTAGAAGTTCCAGAAGATGGCACACACTGACATGAAGGCCACTCGCGCCTCTAACGGGACAACTCTGTAAAGGGGATGGATGAGCAGGTGGGGAGAGGGGGAAGGAGAGGGGGAGAAGGAAGGCTGGAGGGTGGGGGATCGAGGAGATGGGGAAAAATCTGTATAGGGGGACACAGATCAAGATAAAGAGTTTGTTTTAAGGAGCGATACACATCATGGAGTGCGGGGGCGATATGAGAGGCTTACGCAAAGTTGAGGCTCGCAGCTGGAATCCAAAACTTCCACCCTGAAGCGATGAGAAGGATACAGGAGGAGGGGATAGGCGCGGGGTACAGCAGCAGGAGGAGGAGGAGGAGGTGCAGGAGGAGGAGGAGGAGCAGGAGGAGGAGGAGGAGCAGGAGGAGGAGGAGGAGGAGGAGGAGGAGGAGGAGGAGGAGGAGGAGGAGGAGGAGGAGGAGGAGGAGGAGGAGGAGGAGGAGGAGGAGGAGGAGGAGGAGGAGGAGGAGGAGGAGGAGGAGGAGGAGGAGGAGGAGGAGGAGGAGGAGGAGGAGGAGGAGGAGGGAGCAAAATAGGAGAGCACGGGACAGGACAGTGGGAACTTTGAGTCAGAATCCAAGAATCTAAAGCTTTGAATGAGGAGATGTGGCTAAGGTCTGGTCTACTAATTATTACAATGGCAACCACATGCTCCACTAAACATCACAAAAGAAGTCCTTATAAGTACATACCTTACACATTTATGATACTATAGCTTACCATCAACAAGAGACGGGAAGAAATCCCTGCGGTATTTGTCAGGGATGTCTTTGGCCTTGCCCATCCATGCCATGTTCCATGCAAACACCACCAGCAGCACACACGGCCCCAGCACCACCTGATTCGCTGTCACCTGGGAGCATGGGGACAAGTGGGGGAGGGTGCAAGGGCAGAGAGGACAAGAGGAATGAGGGGTAAGGGGTGGGGAAGTGGGGGTGGTAGGGGACAGTGCAGTGGTGGTGTTGAAGAGAGGGAATGTCTTTGGCCTTGCCCATCCATGCCATGTTCCATGCAAACACCACCAGCAGCACACACGGCCCCAGCACCACCTGATTCGCCGTCACCTGGGAGCATGGGGACAAGTGGGGGAGTTGCAAGGGAAGAGAGGATAAGAGGAATGGGGGGTTATTATATATGAGTACGAGTACGAAACAGCACCCACCTTGAGCACGAAGTTGGTGAGGGTAGGGGCAGGCAGCGGGCCGTCAGGGCACTCGTACCACGCGTGGCTGCTGCCGGGGCCGTAGAGCAGGAAGCAGCAGTCATGGGGGTGTCACTTGCTTATAGCGAGTACAACCTCCCACCCACCTTGAGCACGAAGTTGGTCAGCGTGGGAGCGGGCAGCATGCGGTCGAGGCACTGGTACCACACGTAGCTGCCGGGGCCGTAGAGCAGGAAGCCATATGAGGCCATGCGCAGAGCTCGGATAAAATCGTGCTGCCACAGCTCCTTGTCCGCTACTCCCCGCAGCTGATGGCGCCATGGGGGGAAAGCACAGGGGGAGAGGGTGGGAGGGGTGGGGAGGAAGGGGTGAGTCAAAACCCATCCAGGAGCAGGCAGTAGAGCAGGAAGCCATATGAGGCCATGCGCAGCGCTCGGACGAAATCGTGCTGCCACAGCTCCTTGTCCGCCACTCCCCGCAGCTGATGTGGAAGGGGGGTGGGGGGTGTGGGGGGTGGAAGGGGGGGGCATGGGAAGCCAGGAAGGAGGGGGCGGGGGGGAAGGTGGGTGGGGAAGGAAGCCATATGAGGCCATGCGGAGAGCGCGGATAAAATCGTGCTGCCACAGCTCCTTGTCCGCCACTCCCCGCAGCTGATGGGGAGGGGGGGATGGCGGGAGGGGAGTGGGGAACGTACGGACGGGATTAAGAGAAGAGGGTGGGAGAAGGTGGTTAAAGGAGGGAGAGGAGAGGGGCGAGGAAGGGAGGGCGGGGGCGGCGGGTGAGGAGGAGGGTGGGGTGGGGGGAAGGAATTGGAAAGCTCAAATCCATTAATAACCCACCCACAAGCCACCCAGCACCACTCCTAACTGAGGCAAAGCACCCTCATTCTGCAGCAAGACGATGCCGCCGCCTCTATCTCTCTCCTTGGCCTGCCGCCGTCAGTAACTCTCCACCAGCTGCTGAGATGAGACGCCCCAAAAGGCAGCTGTCAGAAACGGATTTAACCGCCCCCACTCTCACTCCCACCCAAGGCTACTCAGTCTCTTTCTGCAGCACGGCGAGGCAGCCTCTATCTCCCTCTCCTTGGCCTGCCGCCGTCGATACCGCTCCACCAGCTGCTGAGATGAGACGCCCCAAAAGGCAGCTTGGGAAAGGGATCAAACCAACCCCACCACTCCCGCTCCCACCCAAGGCAAGGCAACTCACTCTCTTCCTGCAGCAGGGCGACGCCGCCTCTATCTCAATCTCTTTGGCCTGCCGGCGTCGGTATCGCTCCACCAGCTGTGCTATCGTATCACCTGTCAGCGCCAGCCCACTCGCCGTCACCGCTGCCTTGAGGGGGAACCTCTGGGCGGGGAGAGAAGGACGGGAGGGAAAGGCACGGAAGGGGTGGGGGAAAGGGGAGAGGTTGCGGTGAGGGAAGGACGGAATGTGAGCATTGAGGGACAACTCGCTTGCTGTTGTCACTACTTGGTTGAGAGGAACTTCTTTGGTTGGGGGGGAAAATATGGGAGGGGCACGTGGGGAACGTGGCCAATGTGAGCAATGTTACAATGTTAGCAATGTGAGCAATGTTACAATGTTAGCAATGTGAGCAATGTTACAATGTTAGCAATGTGAGCAATGTTACAATGTGAGCAGTGTTATGTCATCAATGTTATGTCAGCAATGTTATGTCAGCAATGTTATGTCAGCAATGTTATGTCAGCAATGTTATGTCAGCAATGTTATGTCAGCAATGTTATGACAGCAATGTTATGTCAGCAATGCTATGTCAGCAATGTTATGTCAGCAAAGTTATGTCAGCAAAGTTATGTCAGCAATGTTATGTCAGCAATGTTATGTCAGCAATGTTAGCGGTGTTTGCAATGTTATGTCAGCAATGTTATGTCAGCAATGTTAGCGATGTTTGCAATGTTATGTCAGCAATGTTATGTCAGCAATGTTAGCGATGTTTGCAATGTTAGCAATGTGAGCAAATGCCAGCGTGTTGAACTCCATCTACCCACCTCCAGCAACGATCCAGATTGGCCTTTCTTCTGTGATGGTTCTTCCAACGGCTGAGATGCGTCCGATGCACTGCAAGCAAATGGGAAGGTGGTAACAGCATCAATGAAAATGTGGGAGGACGCGTCAACGGGAAGGTTTTGTGCAGATGGAAATGCAATACACTATTAAGACAGGAGCCCAAACCCCAAACTCACAGACCCTAAACCAAAAGCCGGAAGGTCAGTTTGGGTCCAACCTAATCCGTCCAAGAATAACTCTCATTTCCTTCTTTGATAAATACTCAGAAAGCGACTCAGCCTTCTTGGAGCTTTAGTAAGTGCGGGATGAATCCTCACCTGGCTCTAAGGCGGTGCTTGCCGTGCTGCCACGTGGCAGAGAGAGACGAGAGCAGCGAGAGCGACAGCCCTTGGGAGAGCGAGCAGGAGAGGGCCGTCGGCGGCCGAGCGCGGAGCGCGTCAGAGAGAGGGTTGACTCCGTTGACTCCGTTGAAGGGGTTAAACGGCAAACCGCCGGAAGCGGCCATCTGGATTGGCTGGTTAGAAGTCAAAGATCGTCAGTGATGGCGGGAAAACTTGGTTGCTGATTCCTCTTCGCGCTAACGTGATCGAACTGGGGCTAAGTCAACCAGGAGATTATTAAAATTAAAACCAGACTGCAACTGAGTCTGACGGTTATCTGTGCGCCTGATCAATCTGAAAAAGCTGTCGCGTCGACGGATGATTTGTTTGAAGCAGGAATCGATTGCCGGGGAAAAGGGGAAGGACGGTAAGTTCTATTGTCACGTACGGGCTCCACAAGCTTGGCCGTTAGTAATGGAGACCAGCCGTAATAGCTAAGGAGCGATAGTGGTCTTGTCTGGTGTGGGATGGCATCACCTGACTGATCAGGTCTGATGAGGTATAATGGGAGAAACCGAGGGACCTCAGAGATTATCCTGACGACGTTGCGAAGATCCTCGCGAGTCCTTAATGATTTTTGTTACGCTAAACCTTATGAAGCTCAAGACAATAGCCAAAACTACATACGGTATGAATCTTTGCTTTACATTCTTAAAGAATGGGGGTATTCCATTGGACTTCTATGATACAAACAGCAAAAATACGTTGTGACTGCTTTGGAAAAGAACGAAAGTGAGAGGATTTGATACTCCTCTTAACTCATGCCGACAAAGGCACCGAAGCCACTAATGGCGACGTCACAGCTGCTTTAGCAGCTGCTTTACCACCTCTTTGCCCAGCAATTGCACCATCCCCAGAATCGCACTCCATCCCGTCACCTTCCCCATTCATCACTCCTCCACCCCCTCCCTTTCCTCCAGTCCGTTCCCTCTTATCTCTCAACCCTCCGCCATCTATCCCATTCACCTTTCCCTTCCCATCTGCAGATGCCCCATTCTCTCCCTCCCTCCTGTCACCACTCTCCTTCCCTTCCCTCACCCCACCCCCCTTCTTCTCCCTACTCTCCCCCCTTTTCCTCTTATCCTCCACCTCCCCACCCCCTCGACCCACCGCCCCACCCGACCCTACGTCTGCACCCGAACCTCCTGCACCAGCCGAACCTAACGGCCGCTCCGGCTCAGGTTCGGCGAGCCAGGAGTGGGCGAGGGCCTGGCGGGCAGTGGCGCGTCTCTCAGGGGCAAAGTCAAGCATGGGGGTGAGGAAGGAGGCGAGGGAGGTGGCTTCTGCTGGGGGGAGGTCGTATTTCTCAGTGAGCACTCGGTCTAGCGGCCAGAACTTGAGGCGCCTTATGTGCCTCAGCTCGCCGTTGCGCGAGAAAAAATCCCTAGAGTACTTGCCTCCTAGGGCGATCTGGATGGGGGGGGGCGTGGCGGGGAAGACAGGGGTGGAAGAGGGGGAGGGAGGGAATGTAGGGGAATGAGGGATGGACTTCCAGTGCTTTGTGTGGCTCAGCCGCTCAGCTCACCAACGCGGGAGAAGCAGCCTTGAAAGTACTCGCCTCCTAGAGTGATCCTCGATTTACTTTGAGACTTCTGAAACGTCAGTTCAGATGCATCAGTGCAAAGAGCATGGGTGCAAAGAGGGTGTGCGGTGTGAGTTGAATGCAGGTGTGATTTGAGTGCAGGTGTGATTTGAGTGCAGGTGTGATTTGAGTGCAGGTGTGATTTGAGTGCAGGTGTGATTTGAGTGCAGGTGTGATTTGAGTGCAGGTGTGATTTGAGTGCAGGTGTGATTTGAGTGCAGGTGTGATTTGAGTGCAGGTGTGATTTGAGTGCAGGTGTGATTCGAATGCAGGTGTGATTCGAATGCAGTGTGTGACTGACCTTCTTTGGAATCCGACCAATCAGCTCCATCATCAGCGCAAGATGATCCTGCACACACCGCACACAGCAACACAGCCACGACAACAGCGACTCAATAACATTTTGAGGAACGAATGGGGAATTGGAATCACTCTCACTGGAGAGATCCTGGTGAGGTAGGAGTGCAGTAAGAGAGAAGCATGATTGACTGGTCAGCAGACGAGCATGATTGACTGGTCAGCAGACGAGCATGATTGACTGGTCAGCAGACGAGCATGATTGACTGGTCAGCAGACGAGCATGATTGACTGGTCAGCAGACGAGCATGATTGACTGGTCAGCAGACGAGCATGATTGACTGGTCAGCAGACGAGCATGATTGACTGGTCAGCAGACGAGCATGATTGACTGGTCAGCAGACGAGCATGATTGACTGGTCAGCAGACGAGCATGATTGACTGGTCAGCAGACGAGCATGATTGACTGGTCAGCAGACGAGCATGATTGACTGGTCAGCAGACGAGCATGATTGACTGGTCAGCAGACGAGCATGATTGACTGGTCAGCAGACGAGCATGATTGACTGGTCAGCAGACGAGCATGATTGACTGGTCAGCAGACGAGCATGATTGACTGGTCAGCAGACGAGCATGATTGACTGGTCAGCAGACGAGCATGATTGACTGGTCAGCAGACGAGCATGATTGACTGGTCAGCAGACGAGCATGATTGACTGGTCAGCAGACGAGCATGATTGACTGGTCAGCAGACGAGCATGATTGACTGGTCAGCAGACGAGCATGACTGACTGGTCAGCAGACGAGCATGATTGACTGGTCAGCAGACGAGCTTGACAGCAGTCAACAAACTAAATAAGAGCATTCCACCTCATCGCGCGCCAGTAACCAAGCAAGAAAGTCCCACCTCATCGCGGTCGAAGTCATGGCCTGAGCGCGGGTCAAAGAGGACGTCCCCAGTGACAAGCTCAAAGGTGAGACAAGCGAAGGACCACATGCCAACTAATCAAGGTCTATGTTTCCAAGGAAGAGCACCCCACCTCGTCGCGGTCGAAGTCGTGGCCTGAGCGTGGGTCAAAGAGCACATCTCCAGTGACGAGCTCAAAGATGAGGCAGGCAAAGGACCACATGTCCGCTGAGGTGGAGTAGCGCGCTCCCAGCAGCACCTCGGGGCAGCGGTACTGGCGCGTCTGAATGTCACTCGTGAACTGGGTGGTGGCGGGAGGGTGGGGTTGGGGTGATGGGGAGTAGCGAAAAGGGCGGAATGTCAAACCCTCAATCCGCAGCACCTCGGGGCAGCGGTACTGGAGCGCTGGAATGTTTTGAGGCGCCTCAAAACATTCCTCAGGGCACTGGTAACAGCGCGTCTGAATGTCACTCGTGAACTGAGGGAGGGTGACGGAGAGCGGAGGGACAGGGGACGACAGGGGCGGGAATCGAGGAGGAAAGGAACAAGTGGATGTCTGAACTGCCAGCAGCCTCTAGGGGCAGCAGCATTGGCGCGTCTGAATGTCACTCGTGAACTGGGAAGATGACACAGACAGGGGGGTGGGAAGGGCCGACAGGGCACCTGCTACATCCACGCACCTGTTACAGCCGCGCACCTGCTTGAACGTCCAGCAGGCATTCCCGAGGTCCATGATCTTGCAGCTCAAGTCCAGCCCTGTCAGGTCCACCGGCCTTTGTGACTTCTGAGTCGACTCAAGGTGACTTTGAAGTCGACTCAAGGTGACGTTAAAGTCGACTCAAGGTGACTTCGAAGTTGACTCAAGGTGACTTTGAAGTCGACTCAAGGTGACTCTAAAGTCGACTAAAACGCACCTGCTTGTATGTCCAGCAGGCATTCCCAAGGTCCACAATCTTGCAGCTCAAGTCCAGCCCTGTCAGGTCCACCGGCCGTTTCTTCCTCCCTGCAAGCTCTGCTGCCGCTTGTGCAGCTGCTGCCTCTGCCCCTGCAGCTGTTGCTCCTGCTGTTGCTGCCGAAGCTTTCTCCCCTGCACTCTTCACCTCCACTCCTCCATCACCTCCTGCCGCACCACCAGCAGCAGCAGCAGCAGCAGCAGCAGGACTGATGCACGTGCCGGTGCCAGTGGCAACAACAGACGCAGCTAGGTCGGCCAGACCGAGGTAATCCTCCATGGAAGACGAAGACGTAAATACCCCCTTTTGTACGCCCTCTCCCCCTCCCAGTGTTGGCGCTACTGGCGCTGCTGCTGTTGCTGTTGCAGCTGTTGCCTCGCCCCCACTCGCTGGTCCTGCTTCAGCCCCAATCCCCACCCCTTCACCTGGTCCTTTTTCCTTCCCGTTACCTTCGAGCCCTAGGAACTCTTTCAGACCAGCTTCTAACGCGGACGACTCCCTCCCTCCCTCCACCGCCGCTCCCCCTGCTGCTCTGCTATCCGCCGTGTCCTCTACCATCCCCTCCGCGCGCCCTTCCCCCATGCCCGCGCTGCTCTCCTCCATCCGCGACCCCCCCTCACTCTCCCCCATATCCGCCGCCCCGGCTTCCGCCTCTCCCGCTTCTCCCCCTCCCCCGGCCTGTGCCCCAGCAGCGCAACTACCAGCACCGCCAGCAGCAGCAGCAGCTTCGGCCTTCTTGGCTTTCTTCTTCATCTTCTTCCGCTGGTTCTTCGTCAGTCCCGACGACGCTGGTGACGCCAACGGCCCCCCTTCCGCCGCGCCCCCCGCACCACCCCCGCGCCCTCCCCCGGCTCCCGCGCCATCCCCCCCACGCGGAACCGAAACCGGAGGCGGAGGCGGAGGCGGCGGACCGTCCATTCTCCCCCCAATCCCCAGCTGATCATCTATCGACCGCACCAGCAGCACGTTCTCGGGCTTTAAGTCCGTATGGATAATCGATAGCTGCCTGTGCAGATAGTCTAGCCCTGTGAGGATGTGGCGCGCGAGGTGCCTGACTACGGGGAGGGGGAGCCCGCGGTAGCGGAAGCGGCGGATGAGCGAGAGGAGGTTTTCCCCTAGAGACTCGAAGACCATGCACACGTGCGAGCCGTGCGGGCCCGAGTGGCGGAAGTGGTCCAGTAGGCGCACCACGCACTTGTCGTTCCGCGGATCGCCGTCCGCCACCTGGAGGGGAGGAATCGGAGAGAGAAGGGGAGCTGCTGAGGTGATGGATTGAAACCCGTAGACTATGAACACGTGCAAGCCTTGAGTGACGACTGTACTAACTCGATAGCAAACCAATCGGCATTGACCACTGTTAGGGTGACCCCGAAATATCCTTCCTACCTGTCTGAGGAGCTGAACCTCGTCAAGAGCTGACTCGGTATAGTGCGACGCGCTCTTCTGCACCTTGAGAGCCACGTAGCGCTGCAGACACCCACGAAAGACGGAACGGGGACGTCACAAAGTGAGAAACGAGGAGAGGACAGTGTTCAGACAGAAGCCATTCCTGAGAATGGAGATGTCGGAAACGTAAAGAGAGGGACCAGCTCATACGATCGTAATTCGTTAGCTTCAGTTCACCGCATTGAATGCACTCTTCGACCCGTTACGTCTCCGTACTCGAGTTCCTCACCTTGACCTCCTCAAATTGACATATTCCAGGCACATTGTCAGTTACATTTTCCTCACCTCCACGCCTCATCCATTTCATCCTCTCCATTCCCGCTCCATTTTTCCCCTCTCGGTTTCATTTATCGTTGCATCGTACCTTCTCCGTTTCATCCCACGCGAGCCAGACGGTCGAGAAGTGACCCCATCCGAGCTTCTTCACCACGCGATAACGACCATTCCTGAACGAATCGCCGATCTTCACAGGGTGGTAACCACCTCGTTTGTAATCGTCAGTCCCTTCGTCTTCCGACTCCGAAAGATAGTCACTATCGCTAGAACCCTCGTCAGCTGATTCCACTTCGTCACGGTCCCCGGTGTAACCCTTCTCGGGCTTATCGCCGCCGCCTCGGTGGTTCCTATGCTTCGCGTTTGACGCTTTTCCCATCAGGGACTGTTAGAGGTAACGAAGCTGACAATTTGCGATCGGAGAGATTTACGGATAAGGAAGTGAATCGCTCGGAATGCAAGCCGTCCCTCAACTAGGCAAATCCACGACGCTGCTGCAGACCTGTACTAAGATTGCTGCGCGAACAGAGGCTCTGATTCCGTTAAAAGCGCCCTCCTAGATGAGCGGAAAACCACTGCCGATGAAGAGGTACAAGGACTCAACAGGTGTCACTCGTGAAACGAGCAGAACGTGGGAGGATTCAGAGATCGTCTGCCATAGAAGCTTCAGCTGGATCTGGCCTTAGTCCTGACGTATGAACTACAGTATCAGGAGAACAAAGATACTGTTACTGCAAGATTTCAAGGTTGCATTACGGAGTGGTCAAGAACGATGAACAAAACATCTAGGGAGGTAAACAAATAGTTTACCTCGGTTTGCGGACCTAATAGGACACATCGTTGGCTGTGTGCTTACAGGGCTTGTGGTTCAGGGCCATGCCGTTGGCATGGCACTGGATCATGTCTTCTTTCCGCTGATTGGTCGACGCAAACGGCCACTGACGTACACGTACATGATGGGATGGCCATCGCGGAAAGGGCACACTAATTTGTGGCTGAGAAGTCCCATGGCTGAATGTCCAGCGAAGAAATGGTCCAATAATTACTGTTGCAGAAGTAAGCTACAGCTTTGAAACCTATTACCACAGCACCATATGTTGATACATATCTTCTACCAATAAATCCTTTCACTACCAACCTATTCTAACTACCCCTCAACTTATCACAGAAATCAGCCAATACTTCAATCTCCTTCTCTCCACCATAGTTAGTTTGTTGTCGTCTGCAATCTCCTATGGGTACTTGATATAGAGAATTTTATCAAAAGGAGGGAGTTTTCTGAAATATTGTTTCTTTTTCAGCATAAACATGTACCAATAATTTTTGGGACCATCTCAAAGCTGGTCTAGAGGACTGTTAGATTCACATCCAGGAAGCCTTCACATAGAGACTTGGTACTTAATGTGAAGCGCTTTTGGCGAGGACCGATACTCCCGCTAAACCTTCAACTCAAATAGTTCCATTACTTTCGGCAATTTCGAATTGCGGAATTCCTCGGAGGGTGTGGTGAAGTTTTACGTACAATACGAGTCGTTCTGGGCGTTATGACACAAACTGGGTGTGGATGAAGGGAAGAAATTGTGAGCAAGGTTTGGAAGATGGTGAAAGTGAGGTTTCTGAACACGCCCCTCGAGGTTGACGCACTGCCAGTGCAACACTGTCAGCCATGACTGACGCAGCCTTGTTCTGACTTCTGAAACGGTTTTTGGCGCACGACAATATGCTTTTGTGAGTCGATAGGCCAGTTTAGCTTACCGTTGGTTTTGCCTAATATTTCATTAGGCCAATCTGGTGGTCAGCGTATTTGCGTGCACGATCGTGATAGGCAGGTGGAGGAACCATGCAAACGCGATCGAGGAGTAAGCGATCCTTAGTGTCGGCCTTCGAGGAACCTTCGGACTCCGTCTCTACGAAGAAACGCGTTACGAAAAAATCTCTAAATGACTCAGAATCGTTGGCCGAGGTAGCTCCATCTGTCGCCTCACAAGCGGATAGTCAGCCGTGCAGCAGCCGGAATCGAAGAGCGGCCGCGACGAATTCGACGAATGCGACGGCTGCGACGAATGCGAAGAACGCGACTACTGCTGCCACTACTGCTAAAAACGCGAGGAGTCGCAAGGCTGCGAGCATTACCAGGAATTCGAAAAAAACTATCGTTGCGAAGGATGGCGTCGTTGCGAGCTCTGTTGCATTCAGCTCGCCTGACGAGGTTAACACCAACAGGGTTGCCACCAGGAGGGTTACAACTAGAAGCAGAAGCGGGAGCAAAGACGGAAGCAAAGACATAAACCAATGCGAGGCGATTAACGTCAGAAGAAGCAGCAGAAATGGAGGACCTACCACCGCTACCGAGAGCCGGGAGGTTGTCAATATGGTTTTTACCAGCAGCAGCAGTCCCGAAGACGGAGGTTCCGTGAATCATTCTCCGCATGATTCGGCCGAGAAATTTTTCTCACCGCAGGTGGAGGTCAAACCATCCGAGCCGGTTCAGAAGGCTCTGTTCCGGTCCCCTGAGGACCCTTGCGAGGCGGAGGAATTCCTCTCGCCTGCTTCAGACGCGGCGTTTTCCGAGGCTGGGGATAGGCAGGTGCCTGGACTGAATGTTGTCGCCCGTGAAGCACTGAAAGACGATTCTCCTGCGTCAGTTGTAGCCGTTTCAGAGGGTTCCAAGGGAGGGAATTCGCCTGTTTCAGATGCAGCCGTTCTTGCAGAGTCTAAGAAGCATTCACCTGCTTCAGCAGCACCAGCCGCACCAGCAGCACTAGTAGCAGCACCACCATCAGCAGCACCAGCAGCCGTCAGTTGCTTACCCAACGCCTCTGCTTCCATCCAAGCGTCAAGTAAACCAGCAGCGAATGGATCCGTGACACGTGTACCAATGAACGTGGACAACATGGCTGCTGGAGTAGGTTCTTGGGCCCCACCTCGGCCGCCTGTAGCGGATGTGATTGCACTGAGCGACGACAGTGACAGTGACGGTGACGCTAGGCCGCGGAGGCTGCGGAGGAGCGGCAGAGGCGCGCGGGGGAGAAGAAGGGGCTGTGCAGCTAGCAAGGCCTTTGCTGCTGCGTGCAGCAGTGCTGCTCTTATCGTGCTGGATGATGATGATGAGGACGATGAGGAGAGGGAGAGGGAAAGGGAGAGGGAGAGGGAGAGGGAGAGGGAGAGGGAGAAGGAGAGGGTGAGGGAGAGGGAGAGGGAGAGGGAGAAGGAGAGGGAGAAGGAGAAGGAGAGGGAGAAGGAGAGGGAGAAGGAGAAGGAGAGGGAGAGGGAGAGGGAAAAGGAGAAGGAGAAGGAGAGGGAGAAGGAGGAGAAGGAGAAGGAGAAGAAGGAGAAGGAAAACCAGGAGAAGATTGGGAAGGAGAAGGCAGAAAAGAGAGCAGCTGATGCGGTCACAGGTGGTGCAAAGGTGGGCGTTGTAAAGGAGAGCAGTACTGAAGTGGTTGACCGTAAGCCAAACTTTGGTGTAAATATTCGAGCATTTACTGCAGGAGTAGCACCAGTGGCAGCACCAGTGGCAGCACCAGTGGCAGCACCAGTGGCAGCATCAGCAGCAGGAGCAGCACAGGCAAATGGCGGCACCAGTAACAATTCTGAGGATGAGGAGGACGAGGAGGATGACGAGGATATAGAGGACCTGTTCACGTATGGGAATCTGGGTATGACTTTCACACGCCCCACAGTTCCTAGCAAGCCTTCCAGGCCTGTGGGTGCCACTGGTAATAACGCCACTGAGGAGATGGAGAGAATCGAGGGTGGTGGTAACCCTATCAACCCCGGCCTGCTCTCCCCCCGCCTAACCTCCCCCCTTGGCTCGCCTGCTGCTCCATCTCGCGTAAACCCCCTCAGTCCCAGCAGCAAGGCTGGCAAGACGGGTTGCATGAGTCTTACTGGCAACCCTCTCAGCCCGTCTTCCCAAGATCTGCTCAGTCCCGGCCGATCCGGAGCAGGAGCAGTGGAATCAGCAACAGCGGCAGCGGCAGCACGTAGTGAGCTTAGCAGATTTCGGCTGCACCAATCCAAGGGTCACCGGCGTGGGGCTCTCGCGTTTCTCGCCTCCGAACCTGCCTCAGGCTCGGGTTCAGGCTCGGGCAAGGCAGGCGAGACAAACGCAGCTGTGATCTCCTCTACTACCGTGCCCCATGCCCCACATCCGTGTGCCATGCATAGCGCCATGCCAAGCCATCCAGCCTCCCATGCTGCTGCCATGCCGGGCTATGCAGCAGCACATGGGGACGCTGAGGCAGGGAAGGAGAGGGGCGATGGAGAGGAGGCGTGGGATGGGTGGGGGGAAGGGAGTGATGACCGCGGGGCAGGTGAAATGGATGACCCTCAGCTGGAGCTGTATCGAAGGGAAGTGAGGTGAGTGGTTATTTGAGGGATGGATGGGGTAGGTGAGGAGTGGGTGGGTTATAAACTGACTGTGACGATTAGGTTTAACAAATAAGTGATTGCAGATTATGTTTTCTTACATATTTTTTACCCTCCTTTTGTCGTGCTTTTGTGGTCCGTTGTGCAGCCATTTCAGGGAGCAGCAGGCAGAGTTGGCTCGGATGAGGGAGCAGCTGTCAGACCAGGGGCTGCGGCAGCATGTGATGTCAGCATGCCCCGTGCCTTCACCAGAGCCGCAGCTGAATAGGCCAAGTGGTCACAACGAAACTCGCAGCCAGTTGGACGGAGCAGCAGCGGCGACGGCACCAGCAGGATCACAAGCAGCAGCAGCAGCGGCGGCGGCAGCACCAGCAGGAGTAGCAGAAGCAGAAGCAGCAGCGATGGCGGCGGCTGTGGAGGCGGCTAGAAGGTTCAGATCGAGAGGCAGCAGGAGATTAACAACAACTGTGGACGTCATAAGAGAAGGTTGGGCTGCAGCAGTAGCAGCAGCCGGAGCAACAGCAACAGCACCAGCACCAGCACCAGCACCGGCAGCTGTTGCAGCACCAGCACCAGCAGTAACACCAGCTGTAGCACCAGCAGCGATAGCAGCAGCAGGTGTTGCAGGGTGGAGAGGGGGAGTAGCAACAGCATCAGCAGGGAGAGTACCACATGTGACTTACCCCCATGCAACACCAGTAGCAGCAGCACCACCAACACCAGCAGCAGCAGCAGCAGCAGCAGCAACAGCTAGGGCAGCCACCCCTGCGAGTTACAGGATCGCAATGAAGCAAAGAACAGCAGCAGCAGCCGCCGCTGCTAGAGCAACCACTCCCGCCAGTTACAGGACCCCAGTGCAGCAAAGAGCAGGATTCGCTGCTGCCAGTGCCGCTGCTGCAGGGAATGCAAGTGCGGGTTCAGGGCATATGGGAGGAGGGCATGTGAACGGGGGGCACGGGGCAGGAGGGGGAGAAGCAGCGGAGCATGGGGAGGAGGGGGGAGGCGAGCGGATTCGGCTGCGGGTGACTGGGAGCCTGGGAGAGCACATGTTCCGACTGGCCAAGGTGGGATGAAATCTTTCATGTGTTGTTGCATACCGTAACTGCCATTTGAAAACTCGCAAGTCTCCCTGCACTAGAAAGTGCTCCCTGCCAGGGTGACAAGGTATATTTTTTTTTTGCTGCCAGGGAAACAGGGCAACAAGCTGCCATGTGGCTAGCGTGGGGAGTGACACCACGAGTTGCAACTTCCCTCATTCTGTCGTCCCCATGTGCTCATCTTTATCTCCCTCTCTCCCTCTCCTACTCTCTTCTCTCTTGCATTCCTGCCAGGGCGACAAGCTGGAAAAGCTGTTCACGGCGTATGCCAACAAGGTGGGGGGGTTGCCAGTGGGCTCGTTCAAGTTTGTCTTTGATGGCGATGCGCTAAAGGGTGATTCAACACCGGCAGACCTGGACCTAGAGGATGAGGACCAGATAGAAGCTGTGCGGAAATAATCCCAGCAACATACTACCACACTACCCTTTCAGCATGAATGTGCTCATTCAAGTTTGTCTTTGATGACGATGCACTAAGGAGTGATTCTACACTGGCAGACCTGGACCTAGAGGATGAGGATCAGATTGAAATGTACAGATGAAGGGTCTCTTGGCATCAATGTTTCAACGCAAGCAACTATATGATGAGGATGGGCAGAATCCATGTACCGTACTTTCTCAGCGAGCATCCCCTGTCAATTGTGGGAGGAGCGTCCCTCAAAGCACACATGCTGAACCTGAACATTCTTAGCAGAACCACATGAAACAGTCAAGGCACGTAGGCAGCCAGCAATCAGTGGCATTACATATCGGTAGTTCAAACCATTTTAGTAAATGTACAACATGAGTGGACTAAAAGCTTCTAATTTTTAACGAGCAAACCACCCTGTTAGTCTCCAGACCACCACCAGTCCACAAAGCCTGCTGCACTGGTGGCAGCTATGGTGTGTGACGCGTAGACCACCAATCCACAGCACCTAAACCCCGCCTTGCTTCTTCGACTCTTCAATCAGCTGCTTCACATAGTTCCGCACTATCTCCTCCCCCTCTTCACTCCTCTTGGTGCCGCACTGGTGGCAGCTGTGGCGGCGAGGGAAGTTGACGTTTTGGCACGAGGAGCAGGCCCAGTTGCCGTTTACTCCCACCACGGGGCGAGTGTGATTAAGCCCCCGCTGCGATTGCAGAGCTGCTGGATCGCCAAACTCCTGAAATGTTGAGTAGAGTGCGAAATAGGTTGAACAGTGGGAGTTAACATGGGGCAGGCGGTGCTTGAAGGCAGGCATTTGGCATGTATGAAGAATAAAAACGCCATAAGGGTACAAAGAAGGGAAGGCACGAGAGAAGAAACAGGGCAACGCAACAGGGAAATGGGGCCGTGGTTCCAGGGTAAGAGGGCACATCAGTCTCATCAGATTACATTGTCATCCGCAGGTGGGACATGGACAAGGAGAGCTCGTGAGCCCACCCCATCCATGCACACTAGGTTCCCTGCCATTTGTGTTCCACATCCTCTGTGCCCTCGTCATCAGCCAGCATGAGCAATACTATAAGTTGAACAGCATCCAGCCACTCTTTAATCAGTCAAGTATTGGCGCCTATAGTCTCGCCTCGCTCTGCTACTTATTGAACGACAGGACAGCTAAAGGGGGTAGGGAATAGGGTAGTAGGGGAGAGCTGACCAGGGAAAGAGCGTGGGAGCATCAGCCTGAAGTTCATTAGTTTGTTTTTGTTGGCACAAGGGCGGCAGAGGCCCAGAGGACCATCTCCCGCCTTGCCGTAATAGGTTGTCATCATTGCCCCCGTTACTAGCACATCTCGTCATATGAGACACAGCAATGACGCTCAGATCACCTCAACAAAGAGGTAAGCTACAGGGACAGCTAAAGAGCACGAGAAGGGAAGGATGAAGATTGAGAGACAATACCGAAGGGGGCATCAGCCTGAAGTTCATTAATTTTGTGTATTTCGGCACAACGGCAGCATTTCTGCTGCCTTGCCATAGCGATTGTCCTCATCGCCCGCCTAACATTCACATTCAGCCAGAACCAAATCTCTTCAAAGTGCAGACACCAAACTAAGGAGAAATCAAGTGGCTCGTGACAGCAGCACATGCAGGCAGTACTCACCCTGAGGAAGTCACTCGGGCGATCCTTATAATCCTCGAAGCTGATATTAGCGGGGATGGGCTTCACAGACGGAGGCCGGGGGGCAGGCGCAGACGCCATGGCCGCAAACTGCGGCATCCCGCCCATCTGCACGTATCCCCCTGGCGCAGGCTGGTAGAAGTACGCCATTCCCGCTTGATCCCCTCCCACTGAACCCGCGGGTGCGTAACCGTAGGCGGCCGCCGCCGCCATTACCGCGTTGTTAGCGGCGGCGGCGGAAGGATCTCCGCCGCCCCCGGGGATGTTCATGCGCGACTTCATGGTTTGGAGCCAGAGCGTGGCGGAGGCGAGGCATTCTCCCGCGTCAGCGATGGGGTCTGCTGACATGGCGAAGCTCGCAACAAGCTGCTCCGCTAACCGCTTGCCTTCGGCAGCCGCACTGTGGAAGAGAAATGGGCGTAAGGTAAGAGAATGAGGGTGAGTAGAGAAACATGCAAGTGCACGAGAACGACAAAATGGGGGGACATCTGCATGTAAGTGGAATGAGGGTATAAGAGGATGGCGAAGTGTAGCAACTAGTAAATCAACCAGCTGTATACCGACGACCAAACGTCTGTTACTAACAACCAACTGCACCCGCGGCTAAACGCCGTTACTTACCTAAGCGTGGACCTTCGGCCTGCACCAGCACCATAACCGGGGTCAGCAGCCACCGTGTACTGAGACGCAAGAGTCGCACCAGCACCAAAACCACCATCACCACCACCAGCACCAACACCAAAACCAGCTGCCGCAGCTGCACCGTAGGGGTCATGCTGCAGTACCTGCACCTGAACCGGCGGACAATGAATGCGGTGGTTTACCACAGGCAGCGGTATACCCACGAGAGTAATGAACAAGCAGAGTACGCACCGAATTCTAGATAAACGACAAACCAACGAGAGAAACGCAGCGCAAGAGCAGACGACCGTGCAAACCACCAAAATTAGTACCAGAAATACGGAATTAAGTAGTAAGTCTACCAAGAGCACCATGTAAGAGAACCATTTACGACCTAGACCGGGAATGTAACACAGATTTTGCATCCTTACTCTGCCTTGGTTGTAACCGTAACCACCCGCGTCGCCCGTTCGCTGGCCTCTCATTCGCTTGTTGTACTCCGCCACTATCGTGTCGCCTACGGGTCCCCGCTGTCTCCCGCATTTATGGCACTGCGAAAAACCAGCGTCGGAAGTTAGCGGGTCACAAAAAAAAAAGGATTTTGGATCTACAATCACTATTAAATATTACTGAGAAACAACGCTAGGTAATGACAGTTCGTACCTCAGTGCGACGAGGGTAGTTGACATTGAGACAAGCCGAATCTTCGCAGACCCAGTTCCCGTCTTCCAGTGGAACGGGTCGCTTGGATCCACTGCAGGGAGACATTGCAACGAGACACAAGGGAGAGAAACAAGGATTGAATGCCTTGCGGGTAACACTTGCAATAAATAATATTAATGCACATGCATGATCGCAATAATTCAGCATGACAAAACTTGTGATTTAGTTACCTTGCCTGCCTAGGCTGCGGACCATAATCAGCCATCACCACTCAGCTGACAATCTCGAACTTGTGAGCTGACAATCTCGAACTAGTGAGCTGACAATCTCAGTTGATGCCTGAACAAACGAAACCCTGAGGCACTAGGGTTTCACAAGCGCAGGAGGATCTTCCCTGACACTAAAAGACTAAATGTTTGAGAAAGGAGGATATGGGATGTTGGGTTTTATGAGAGTTGGAAGGAAGGATAAGGAAGTAGAGGACGGCCAGTGGGCTTGGAGAGGGATTTGCGAGAGGTTTGCGTTATTGGCTGCCTCGAGTTGTAGGGATTATCTTAGTGTAAATGTAAAGTACTAAAAAACGTTGTCTTTTATACGAAGAGATAGCTGGTTCCGCTATTATCGTTTGTATGTTCTTATGGGAGCATCCCGTTTCAGTGCAGTCGTCGTCGTCGCAAAGGAATCGTTACACGCGCGGCGGGAGATGCACTTCGTACACTTGTGGTGGGGAGGGGAGTTCTACACCGCCAGTTTTGCTGTGGTGTGGTGGTGTGGTCCCCTCGCCATCCCTTCCACCACAACCGAATCATTGGTCCTAAAGTGCCTACCTGGCGTCGCTGTTTCTCTGCGACGCCACGTAGACCTACCAGAGGCTGCTAGACGCTCTTCCACGAAACCATTGCGACCTCGCACAAGGAGGTTGTTTGGAAATGGGTCACTCGGGATTGGCGGGAAGTTGGTCACTTCTACACGGTGGCAATCAGGTAAAATTGGCAGACTGACACGCCCTTTGCAGCGTCCACTCCACGCCACGGGAATCCAGCTTCAACAACAAGAGATACCTTCAATTGAAGAATTTGATCTTACTGAAATCAACAAGCTTCTCAGTCTCCATTCTCCGAAACTCCATTCTGTCTACTAACAGAAATTTGACTGTCATCGCAAACGTCTAGCAGCCATGGATCCTGCTTCTGAAGCTGCCAGGACCGACCTTATGACACTGACCAGACATGTGTTGAATGAGCAGTCCAAGCACCCAGAAGCTCGTGGAGATCTCACCATTTTGCTCAATCACATAGTCCTCGGCTGCAAATTCGTCTGCTCTGCAGTTAACAAGGTGCACAGTCCACTCAAGAACGCAGTTCGTCTGAATAGGCGCCTCGTTTCCCCTTAGCTTCTTCCCAGTCTTGCTGATACGAGTGATCGTATCTCTGTTGCAGGCTGGCCTCGCAAAGCTTATTGGTTTGGCCGGCGAGACAAACGTCCAAGGAGAGGAGCAGAAGAAGCTTGACATTCTGTCCAACGATGTGTTCGTCAAGGCCCTTGTCAGCAGCGGCCGAACGGTACGTTCCAGTGACCAGGCGCTCGATAGACCATGATAAATTAGCGATGCGAGATTCACTGTGCGTGTTGCATTCCTGTTTGCAGAACGTTCTCGTGTCCGAGGAATTGGAAGATCCTATTTTCGTCGATAAAAGACTGCGCGGAAGGTAACGTTTCTGGTGCTGCTATCTCTGACCGTGTTATTTTCTTGAGTTGTGTCACTGAGTATGCGAATGACGTTGTTGTTCTTTCTTTCAGGTATATCGTGGTCTTCGACCCGCTCGATGGATCTTCCAACATCGACTGCGGAGTGTCCATCGGAACAGTGAGTGCTGGATGATTTAGCCTGATGTAGATGAGAAGTAAAACGTACAGTCGGTGCGTGCTTCCAAAATCTCCACGCACTCCCGCTCTTCAAAGGTGGGCAGTCATACAAGGGCTTGAATGAACGCAAAACCTGGATAGCCAGATGGACAGCAAGTTGTTAGTGAAAGTAATGGGCAATATATGAGAGTCAGAAACGCAAGATGTGCCGAGACATTCGCTGCTACTCATGTAAGATAATAACCGAGGCACCCCCATCACTTATTTTCAGATTTTCGGTATCTACATGCTCCAAGCGGGCGATGATGGCGTCATTCCCGAAGGCACGATTGAGGATGTTCTGCAGCCTGGAACCAAGATGGTGGCAGCAGGCTACTGCATGTATGGCAGTTCGTGCACGGTACGTATGGTTCTTGAGCTGGCCCCGACCTGCTGTGATGGAGATTATACGTTCGCTGTGTTGACTCGTGGAGTTTCATTCTGTGTTTTGGTACTGACAGTTTCCTACTGTGCGGTTCTGCAGCTTGTGCTGAGCACCGGTAATGGAGTTAACGGGTTCACCCTGGATCCGTCTCTCGGGGAGTTCATCCTCACTCACCCCGACATTCAGGTGAAGATTGCAGTTTTTCGTCGTGGAAAATGTAGCAAGCGTGTACCGGAGCGCATTTGTACAATCCTCGTCTTACCAGGAGTTCAGCTCTCTCAGTGTGAAGTAACCCTCGCGAATGCACCTGCAGATGCCCAAGAAGGGGAAGATTTACTCAGTTAATGAAGGGAATGCACTGAACTGGGATGAGCCAACCAGAAAGTAAGTAGAAGACGCCAGCCTCTAGCGTTCTGTTTTTTGGTGAACATATGCGTAGTAGTGTATTGTTGGTGTCACATCTTTGAGCTGTCGTGGTCCAGGTTTGTGGAGTCCTGCAAGTTCCCAACTGATGGCTCGGCCCCGCGTTCCCTTCGCTACATTGGAAGGTGAGGCTAACATCTAAATGCCAGTGTCCCTTACTGTCAACCTTCAGTGAAAGTACTCACGTTTGTTGTCCATTCCGTTTATGCAGTATGGTGGCAGATGTGCACCGGACACTTCTGTATGGTGGAGTTTTCTTGTACCCGGCTGATAAGAAGAGTCCCAATGGCAAATTGAGGTAAGAGATGTTTAAGTTTCAAGGCACAAGCTTGTGAAAAGAGAACACATTTTTTAGTTGTGGTCTTTTTGTTCACAAATAACTCTTGGCTCATGGATACAATTTCAATCTACTGTGCAGGGTGCTGTATGAAGTTTTCCCGATGTCTATGTTGATTGAGCAAGCAGGCGGTCAGGCTTTCACAGGAAAACAACGTGTAAGTGTCTAGCAGCAGAGTTTCTTCCGTTCTTTTCTTTCCTCTTACCGCTTAGTTGTATTTGTGTCGGGCCCTAACTTCGGAAAAGAAATGACTCCTGCTTTCTACGTTTGCAGGCCCTGGAGCTCGTTCCAACCAAGATCCATGACAGGTCCCCTATCTTTTTGGGCAGTTATGACGATGTTGAGGCTATTAAAAATCTGTATGCCGCTCAAGCTTAGAGTTCAAATACTCTGTGTAACGGGCTGGATGTGTTGTTTAAGCCTTCAAGTTGGAATTAAGAAATTTTGTCGAATGCCTTTTCGCTGAAACTATGATTGTCAAATGCGGTTTCAAACGAGTATAGTCCACGTCAAGCCGCGACCCGTCAGGCAGACACAGGTCGTGTCAGGCGGGAGATTCCTGGGCTCGATCTTAGCACAATAATCCTTCAAGCAAAGCTGTTTGCACAAGTTCCTCCTTCGGAAGACTTCACCGTATTTCACGAAACCTGCTCCCTGCATTTCGTCCTGAGACAACACGACCTCTTGTTGAGTCGGCATTTAGTCTGTCGGCTGTGGGCCGTATCGTTACTCCAGCCGTTAGGTTCGTCAACGCAATCCCCGTCGCACATAGTTATATAAATCGACTGTGATTATGAAGCATGTCTAGAGTCGCCGGCCTGTCCTCTGCATTCTGACCACTGCTATCGTGTCGTCCTTTTTGAATGGTAGCGGGTCCGCATCCGGGAAAGCGGAGAGCTTACTATCGTGGTGCCATGGGAGCGTTGCGGACGCCGTTAAAGAAGGCGCCAGCCGGCCTCTTCCGTTTCGGCCTCAGATTTGTGATCCTCCTGTTCGTCGTCGTTATGGTCGTATTTATCTTAGAGACCGGAAAGCTGGCAGACAGACAACGAAAGTCGGAGTTTGAAGAGCGTAAGCTTCTTAATTTCAAGTGAAAGACATCCTCCCTGCAGCTGGCCACATTTGCCACGTGTTCTGCGTCAATCCTGATTTCCATGGATCTCTCTTGTGCGACTTCTTTAAAAAAATGCGTACGATAATCTTTCAGGCCAAAGCGCCTCGGCCTCAACCGTCCATTCGTTGTTCCTCTCGATCTCCGTTTCGCTTCGGTTCGCGCTCTCAGGTGTTTTCCACGTTTAGCTCGCTTTATTATTTCCCTCTCGATCGTCATCACCTTCATTCCTCGTTCTGGTCCCTTCCCCCCAACCGTCGCCGAGGCAGTGCGAGAGCAGTCGCTGAGGAAGATCCTGAGGCAGCACGAGATGGAGATTCAGGCAGCCATCGACAAGAACATTGGCTGGTTCTCACACTACCTCTCCAGACTCCGTCTGTCGTCTCGTGCTGGGGCTGGAAGAGGTGGGTTTTTGTGTTTTTCCAGGTGCGCAGGCATAGAAATAAGCTTCACGGTGCTATCGATGGCAGCAATGGCAGGTAATTGTAGTGAATTTTCAGGTTCCAAGCGTCATTCCGTGCTAGAGCTGAGTATCTGAAGTTTACCCCGTTAGAATGGGTGATTTGCAAATGCACCTTGGAACTCTGACAAGTCGTGCTTTCTCTGCTCATTCGTTACCTTTCCGAGCTCGCCATTTCACTGATGACGGAGAACTTCGCCATCTGTATGATGTTTCTGCCTGTTTATGTGTGTATGGGTTTCCCTCTCTGTTCGTGCGACCAGACGAGGACGACGATGATGACACTAGCAGCGTGTCTTCACACTCAGCCTCCGCTACAGACACACTCGCCACTGGCACATCTGGGGGGAACGAGCGTGGCGGGGAAGCAGCGGGAGGCGGAGGCGCTGGGGGAATGGCGGGTGGTGGGGGGGAGAATGGGAAAGGCGGTGGCGAGGGTCAAGGGGGAAAGCGGAAGAAGGGGAAGGAGCAGGATCTGTCGAATGTGGGCAATTTGGACATGCCCATGCACAAAGTGCACGGGGTCTTGGAACGTGAGTGTTTAGGAAAGTGTTAGTTGAGTATTGGAAAGTGGGAGCTTACCCTTCCTTGATCCACCCACCTGCGTCTCGCCCTTGGTGTTTCTTACTCTATCCCATTCTTCTGTCACTTCTTCCGTCTTAATACCCACTCATTCTCTTCCTGCTCATCTGCCCAATCCATCCCCCTTCCAACCCCCGCAGCCTGCCTCCCTCTGTTGCCCGAGCCTGAACTCTCACACCTGCAGCTGCCCGAACCTCTCCCGGACACAGTAGTGACGCGCCTTCGCTATTATCACATGGACGAGGACGCAATCGAGATCGAGAGCACACTAGGCGCCAGGCAGGGCCAGCTGGGGCGAACGGTCCAGCTGGACATGTTCACAGGGAAGCAGACAATGGGAGAGAGGGCCAAGAGCTTCCGGGTGCAGGCGAGCATGGAGGTGCACTGTGGGTTTGCGGGGCCCAACACGGGGTTCACGGTGGCAGAGGCGGACCAGCGGTGGCTGAAGCGGTGCCAGGTGGCAGTGGTGACCGCGATATTCGGGGGAGGTGACATCCTCGTGCAGCCGATCGGGATGACGCAGGAGTCTCTTCAAAAGGTGCGTGGTGCGTGGCTAAAGCGGTGTCAAGTGGGGGAGGTGACATCGTGGTGGAGCCAATTGCGATGACGCAGTCTGCAGGCGACTTTGGAGAAGGTGCGTGCGCGGGTGACTTAGAGTTGACTTAATAGTGGTGATGGCCATATTTTGGGGAGGTGAGGTGACATCCTGATGCAGCTATTGGGATGACGCAGACGTCCCTGGAGAACGTGCGTGCGTGAGTGGGGATGGTGGAGTGGTGGGGTGGGGTGTGGTGAGGTGTGGGGATGGTGGGGTGGGGGATTGGTGCAGTGTGAGGGTGGGGATGAGTCTTAATGCGCGGGTGTGGAGTTGTAGTGTGAGGATTGCTAGGGGCATGGGAATGTGTATGGGAAGGTTGGGTTTGGGATGGGTTTGAGACGAGCTGGGCAGCAGCTATGCACAGGGCCACAGGCTACGTTCTCCTATGAATGAACCCTTAATGCATTTCTTCATCCCCCCCTGGCATGCTTCAGGTGTGCTATGTGGCATTTTGGGACGATGTGACAGCAGCAGCGCAGGCAGAGGCAGGGGTGGTGCCAGATAAAGACACCGTGAGGGTGGGGCTGTGGCGCATTGTCCTTGTCAAGGACCTGCCGTTTGTGGACCAGCGGAGAAACGGGAAGATTCCCAAGGTGAGCGCACCAGGGTTGCCAGTTCAGGGGTTTCTGATGATGCTCATCACGCTCTTCCCATCTATCACCCTACCCGCTGTGCCTGCTTACCCCCTGTGCCTCCTTACCCCCCTCTACCCCCTTGTATATCCTGTGCCTGGCCCCTGTGGACCTGTTGCTCCCTCCTTATTCGTCTATGTCTGTCCACTCCCCAACAGATCTTATCTCGTTGCCTCTTCCCCCGGGCCCGCTTCCCAATCGGGGTCGACTCGAAGCACCAGCTCCGCAGGGACACCCTCAGAGTGCTCGACACATTTTTCCAATCTCTCACCCTGCCACTTGTGCCCCTGTGCCCCCATACCCTCCTGTGTGTCCACCTGTTTATCTCTGTGCATGCCCTCCTGTACACCTGTCCCTCCTTGCCATGTCTGCCTACTCACCATGCCCCACTGACAGATCTTATCTCGTCGCCTCTTCCCCCGCGCCCGCTTCCCAATCTGGGGCGACTCCGAGTACCAGTTTCGCCGCGACCCCGTCGGAGTGCCCGGCATGCTTTTCCGACCTCTTATCCTGTGCTTCTGTGCCTCTTTACCCCCATGTACCCACTTGTGCCCCCTGGAACCCTGTGCATGGCCGCTGCACCCCTGTTCCTCCCTCGTTTGCAATCTCTGCCTACTCACCATGGCCCAACAACAACAGATCTTGTCACATCGTCTCTTCCCCCGCGCCCGCTTCTCCATCTGGGTTGACTCCAAGTACCAGTTTCGCCGCGACCCCCTCGGAGTGCTCGACACGCTGCTGTGGCGGCAGCAGCCGCGGGCAGAGTTTGCGATATCGGAGCACGGGGCAAGGAGCTGCATCTATGCGGAGGGGGAAGCGATAGTGAGGAAGCACAAGGCTCAGCCGGAGGAGGTTGCAGTGCAGCTGAACCAGTATCACACAGAGGGGCTCCCGGTTAATGCCACTTATAATGGGAAGAAAGGTGAGGGAAGTGGATGAACGTGGTTGCTTGGAAGGGTGGGCTTCTCGTTCGATCGGCGGTTGATTGAGCACTGATATCGTCCTTTGTTTGTTTCTTTCTGTGTGCGAGGCATCTGACAAGTGTATGTTTTCTTCCCCTCTTCTACAGCATTGGCAGAGGCGTCCATCATAGTGAGAGAGCACACGGCAGCCACGAACCTGTTCATGTGCCTGTGGTTCAACGAGATGGTGCGATTCACTGCTCGTGATCAACTCAGCTTTGGCTACACGCTTCGACGACTCGACCTGGTGAAACCAAACATGTTCCCTGTGTGCACACGACGGGCGCTAGTAAACGCTCTCGGCCACAAGCGTAAGGCAAAACCACTTGCGCATGGAGTGTCCTGAATATAGGTGATGCATATTTACATTAGGAATATTAGTAGGTGTCTAATGCAATTGTTGTCAGTGTATGTCCGTTTCAATAAGCACCCCAAAACCAGTTTCAGAGGTCAAGGATGGTTGGTTGGTTTCGGCGACGAGCTTGCGACAGCATGCTGCAAATCTATTGGTTTATCGGTTCCCGCCAAGGGCTCGGGTCGCTCTGTTATGCCCCGAGATCTCCAAATGAACCTCAGCCATGGATCCGCTTTCAATTAGGCTTCCCAACCAAGCCAAGTCGCCAGGCTCGGCAGACGTGAGTATAGGGTCACCCAGAGGCACGGAGGTTCGGCGTTGTGACTCTCAAATCATTTGTAGCCGATGCGTCAGCCTGGGCTGCCAAACCCAGATTCGAGGGATGGCCTTCTGGATTTCAAGCAGCATATGCAGTCCTCACCTGACAGAAGACATGATCAGAATCAATTAGCAGTTTCCACTAGCTCGTGCAGCAGTCTTTGAGCGCGTTCCGTGTCCTCTTGAGGAGCGGAGTGTTGGCTCGAAGTAGCTTCTCGGACCAACCGCTTCTCTTTGGAAGAGGATCCTTTCCGCAATAGCTTTGTGGCTCTCTGAATTTCCATGATCATCTAAATCAATCACATTATTCACCCGTGGCCTCGTTCGGGGTCGTTGTCCTTGGTAAGTTTTTATTCAACATTGGCAACAGCTTATCTGTTTTTTTTTTTTTTTTTTTTTTTTTTTCCCAGTTAAAGAGCTGATTCGTCTTCTGAAAACGGATCATGGTCTTCTTAACGAAGTTCGCACTTGGTTGGAACTGAAATCAGCGTTTCGTATTGGAGGATGAATCAGTGCCTTTGCAGTGCCTTCATGACGGATCTAGCCTTTCTGGCTGCTACCGTTTACGAATGTATTCGCATTATAGGTGAAGCTGGATTCGCCAGGTTTCTGGGTTTCTCAGACCGCTCGAATTCCAGATATACCCCATTCTAGTTCACAAGTAACACTTGATCAAGCGATTCACTTGTAACGTCTCTGCATGCTCGGCTTCCCGGCCTTCTATTACCCCAGCCAGAGAATGCCAGCTCTGGAGGCAAGCGATCCAGTCGCCATGGACACTCAGCCTCCAAGCGTCGGCGGTAGCAGTGCGCTGGGTAGCTTGGAGGGGAGAGGCAAGTTGCAGCTGGTGCAGCCGTCGTCGGCAGATGAAGAGGCGAAGGTGGTGAGGGAGCTGATGAACACTGCGGATGCTGGCATGAAGGAAGGAGACACGTACAACCTTGTAGACGCTAGGTGCGTACGTGTGTGATTTGATGCAGAAGCGCGTGTGTAACTCGGACGAGAAGCGAGGGTGTGCGGGAGCTGATGAACACGGCAGATGCTGGGATGAAGGAAGGAGACACGTACAATCTCGTAGACGCTAGGTGCGTACGTGTGTGATTTGTTGCAGAAGCGCGTGCAACTTGAACCAGGAAGCGAGGGTAGTGAGGGAGCTGATGAAACACGGCAGATGCTAGGATGAAGGAAGGAGACACGTACAACCTCGTAGGAGCTAAATTGAATTTACTTTCGAGACGTTTCACAAGAGAGAGTGCTGGTTAATTGGAGTTATCTGAGACATCAAATGTATTGATGAATGTTCCTCCTCCGTTCTCCCCCTCTGTCGCTCCCTCTCCCTCTCTCGTATGTGTGGCGCCGTTTACCCACGTTGACTCGCGTTGACTTGGTTAACTCCCGTTGCCTCTGTTGGCCGTGTTGACTCCGTTGACCCGCGTTTTCTCTTTTGACTCACGTTGACTCGGTTGGCTTGCGTTGACCCGTGCAGATGGTGGCGTGCGTGGTCCAGATACTCGGGCTATTCGGAATCAGAGAGCGAGTCGCAGAAGCTCACTGTGAAGCCGCTACCCATAGACAACTCGAGCCTGGTGGATCGGGAGGCGCAGGACAGGTTCGGCAGTGCCGAGCCTCACCTGCGGCTGGAGCTGCAGGAGGATGGGGACTACGTGCTGGTGCCGCAGTCAGTGTGGCGCGTGCTGCACTCGTGGTGAGTCTCGGGCTAGCAGTGCTGCACTGATGCATGCGTGCCATCCTGGTTCAGATGAGAGGGACGAAGGAGCTATCAGTAGAGTTATGCTAGCCTTTGTGCTTGTGCCTTCTCAGCTGTCTGTGTACGGGGTGTGCTATAGAGACACATCAAACATAGTATCATAAAAGAAGGCCACATCACCTTCTGAGGAACAGAGCAGCTCTAGGCAGGAGAGGCCCCGCCAGAAGATTCCATCCAGTTTTCCTCCCCCTTACTCCACACTCCCTCCATTTTCCATCTCCTTTATCCCATTTGCAAATGCTAAGGTATGGAGGGGGCCCAGTGGTATCCCGCCACGTGGCGCGCATGGGAGGCCGGGAAGAGCTATCAGTGGAGGTGTACCCGCTCTGCCTCGAGCTCTCCTGCATTTCCGTCGCCACCTCATTGCCCCTCACTTCCTTCCCTTTCTCAAACACTCTAGGTACGGGGGCGGTCCAGTGGTATCTCGCCACGTGGTGCGCATGGGGGGGAGGGAGGAGCTATCCGTGGAAGTCTACCCGCTCTCCCTCGAGCTCTCCTGCGTCTCTGCCGCCACCTCGCTGCCCCCTCGCGTGGAGTCAGTGGTCATCAGCAAGCGGGCGACTGTGGGGCAGCTTAGGTACCGCGCCTGCGAGCTGTTCGGGCTGCAGCCAGAGAATGTAGGTCTGGTGCTTGGGAGTGATGAGTGAATGTAGGTCTGGTGGCCTGGGAGTGATGAGAGAATGTAGGTCTCTTCCACATGTGTGAGGAATTTGGTGCGTTGTCGGTGGATATCAGCAAGCTGGAGACTGTGGGGCAGCTCAGGACCCTATGTTTGGGTTGTTTGGGTTGCAACCAGAGAATGTGCGTTTTGGGGTTTGTCTGAAGACAGAATTAGGCACCCTATGAGCCTACATATTGGCTGCCTGGGTTTGAGCCCATGTCATGCTCATTTCTATGAACGAAGTGCCTCTCGCCCCCTCCCAACCTGCTGTGTTTTTGTGTGTGCCGTTTTCTTTGCATGCGTGTCGTGTGTATGTGCTTGCGCGAATGCGGCATGTTGCTTGTGTGCACGTGTGCATGTCATGTGGCATGTTCGTGTGCACGTGTGCATGTGTGTGTGCATGGGAGCAGGTGCGGGTGTGGGACAACTACGGCGGCAAGCGTCACAAGGTGTTGAGCGATGAGGGCCAGGCTCTGGAAGACGCAGAGCTGCAGATGGGCAACCAGGTGGGAACCTGATATTAAATGATTACAAAAAAAAAAAAAAAAAAAAAAAAAAAAAAAAAAAAAAAAACACCAATCTGACCTTCTTTCTTGGTGTAGCCTGCTCATAATAAAAATATAATTTATTTTCCTTCATATGCGTCTGCCCTCCACTATGTGTCAGATACTGGTAGAGGTGGGGGATAACGGCCAATGGCCCGCCCAGGCTGTGCATCTAGAGTCCTCCTCCTCGCCCTCCTCTCCCTCCACTCCCTCCCGCACGTCCAAACCTGCCGCCACCTCCCCCTTCCACACTGTCACCTCCCCCCGTACCTCCACTCTCGCTTCGGCTGCCGAACCTACCGCCGCCGAGCCTAACATCTCCATAGCAGGGGGTCCTCTGTCGCACTATAGCAGCGTGGGAGCTGCTCCCCCCCCTGGCGCACTCTTCATCACCTCATGGCCTCCCAACCCTGCTGGGGAAGGAATGGAGGGAGCAGGAGCAGAAGCAGAGGCAGGGGTTGAAGGATCAACCTGGTCTCCTGTGAGGGAGATGACTGATGCAGAGGGGGCAAGGGGAGAAGAAGAGGGCGAGGGGAGCGGGACTGCTGCTAGTGGAGTTGATACCAGCGCTGCTGCTGCGAGGGGTACTGCTGGTGACATGAGAGGGAAGCTGAAAGCGGCTTTCCCAGCAGATGTGGGACCGGCTAAGAAGCCCACATCTGGGCTTACACTATCCATTGCGCCCCCTCCTGCCTCCTCCTCCTCCATGGCTATTGTCCCCGTGCCTAGCGCCGAGGAGAAGAAAGGCTCAGGATCAGGTTCGGGATTCCCGTTCAGATTCGGGTTCGGGTTTGGTAGCAGTTCGAGTGCCAAGGCGGCAAGTGCAGCAGCAGCTGGTGCAGGAGCTGGAGCAGGGGCGCGAACAGGGGGGTCGCAGGGGATCCAGGGCGGTCCAGTGGGGTTGACAGGGTTGGTGAACCTTGGGAACACGTGCTTCATGAACAGTGCGCTGCAGTGCTTGGTTCACACTGTACCATTAGTGGAGTATTTTATGGCGGATTACATGAGGGAGATCAACAGAAGCAACCCGTTGGGAATGGAGGTGAGTGTGATTCAATAGCTGATTCGATTCACGACCCTGGTGCACACTGTACCGTTAGTGGAGTACTTAATGGCGGATTATATGAAGGAGACCAACAGAAGCAACCCCTTGGGAATGGAGGTGAGTGGCGGTGTTGTAGTTATATTCAAAAGTTTGGTGCACACTGTACCGTTAGTGGAGTATTTTATGGCTTAGTGTTTGTTCATCGTTTATAATTGTTTTGTTTATTTGTTCCCTTGTCGTCATTTTTCCTACGTCTTTGTTGCTGGTCAATTACACCTCAGTATAGTCCATGTTTGTTCCTTTCTCTCACAGTCCCCGTCTTAAGCCCCACCACCCACTCCCACCCCCTTCCTATCATCTCCAATTCGACCCCCTTGCCCTCCTCTCGCCCACGCTTTTCCTCCCACATCGTTTCCACTCACTCCCAATCCCTCACTACTCACGGCCTCTTCTTATTTTCCTCTCACTCATACCCCCCACACCAGGGTGAGATGGCAACAGCATTTGGCGAGCTGCTGCGCAAGCTGTGGGCGCCGGGAAGGGACCCCGTGGCTCCCAGGGCGTTCAAGGCGCGCCTCTCGCGCTTTGCCCCTCAGTTCAGCGGCTACAATCAGCATGACTCTCAGGTTGGTTGATCAGTGACTGGCATGATTGACAGGTTATGTGCTGAACTGAACCCCGTGGTGTGCAAGCCTGATGGCAGGTAATGTGCTGGTAGGTGGGGGGGGATGCAAGTGCGCTGATTGTTTGCCCCTTCCTCACACTGCCACCCTTCCCCCGTCCTCCCCTTCCCCCCTCCTCCCCCTCAACGCACTCACAGGAGCTGCTGGCATTCCTATTGGACGGCTTGGAGGATCTGAACAGGGTGATGGGCAAGCGGTACATCGAAGCCAAGGACCCTGATGCTGCACCTCTGCTCTGCTCACACTGCCACTCCTCCCCACCCCCACTGCAAGCATGCAAGCGGTCAAAACACTTCTTCAAACACCTGAACAGGGTGCTGGGCAAGCGGTACATCGAAGCCAAGGACGCTCATGGTCCAATCCTGCTCACACTGCTACTCCCTCTCTGCTCCTGCCCACACTCTGCAGGAACTCCTGGCTTTTCTATTGGATGGTTTATACGAGGATTTGAACTGGGTGATGAGCAAGCCGTACATCGAAACCAAGGACGCTCATGGTGCACCCCACCTTCCTCACACTGTCACTCCTCCACACCCCCTCTGCTCCCACCACCCCTCAGGAGCTGCTGGCTTTCCTCTTAAATAACCTGCACGAGGATCTGAACAGGGTGATGCGCAAGCCGTACATTGAAGCCACAGACGCTACTGGCGCCCGTCTTCCTCACACGGCCACCCCTTTCCACCCTCTCTGCCCCCCTGCCCTTCTACCCCCGACCCCTCACAGGAGCTGCTGGCTTTCCTCTTAGATGGCCTGCATGAGGACCACCCTTACTCCCCTCGTTCTCCTCTCCCTCACCCACCCCTCCTCTCACACTCACAGGAGCTCCTGGCATTCCTATTGGACGGGCTACACGAGGACCTGAACAGGGTGATGCGCAAGCCGTACATTGAAGCCAAGGACGCCGATGGGCGGCCGGACGAGGAGGTGGCGCGGGAGAACTGGGAGAACCACAAAGCGAGAAACGACTCCATCATCGTTGACAAGTTCCAGGTGTGTAACCATGTGGTAACCTGGCTGTAAACCGTGTGGTAACCTGGCTGTAACCGTGTAGTAACCAGGCGGGTTGGTTGGTCTGAGTCCGGATGAGGAGGTGGCGCGGGAGAACTGGGAGAACCACAAAGCGCGAAACGACTCCATCATCGTTGACAAATTCCAGGTGGGTCACCGTGTGGTAACCAGGTGATGATTATGTGGTAACCAGGTGGCGATTATGTGGTAACCAGGTGATGGTTATGTGGTAACCAGGTGATGTTTATGTGGTAACCAGGTGATCGGCCTCCCTGTTCTAATCGGGAGTACCACAAGGCGAGGAACGACTCCATCATCGTTGACAGGTTCCAGGTGAATGTGCTGGTAACCATGTGGTAACCCGTTATTAAATGGTTACTAGGTGATATGTAACATGAAACTGGTGCATTCCGGTCATAAAACTCCAAACTCCAACGTCGTTTTCCCATCGTTCTTCCACCCCACACCCCCCTCCCCCCAGGGTCAATACAAGTCAACGCTAGTGTGTCCACAATGCAAGAAGGTCTCGGTCACATTCGATCCCTTCATGTACCTCTCGCTGCCGCTGCCCTCCAAGGCCACGCGCTCGCTGCACCTCTCGCTGCTCTCGTCCTTTGGCGACCAGCCCCCCCGTGCACTCACTGTCACGGTGCCGCGCACAGGGAGGATTCTGGACCTGCAGAGGGCGTTGGCTGAGGCATGCCAGTTGCCTCCAGGAGAGAGACTGCATGTGGCTGAGGTGAGCTGCTCTCTCCCCTCTCCTTGTTCGGCGACCAGACCAGCCCCCACGTGCGCTCACTGTCACGGTGCCACGCACAGGGAGGATTCTGGACCTGCAGAGGGCGTTGGCTGAGGCATGCCAACTGCCTCCCGGGGAAAGACTGCACGTGGCTGAGGTGAGCTGCTCTCCCCCCACTCGCCTCTAGAGATCAGGCCCCCCGGGCGCTCACTGTCACGGTGCCGCGCACAGGGAGGATTTTGGACCTGCAGAGAGCACTGGCTGAGGTGTGCCAACTGCCTCCAGGGGAGAGAGACTGCACGTTGCTGAGGTGAGCTTTTTCCCCCGCTCTCGCCTCTAGGGACCACCTTCCGTGCACGCACTGTCACGGTGCCGCGTACAGGCAGGATTCTGGACCTGCAGAGGGCGTTAGCTGAGGCGTGCCAACTGCCTGCTGGAGAGGTTGCTGGCCTACTGCGTGTGGCCTAGGCCAGCAACCTCTCTAGGAAAGAAAAGGGGCGTGCTAGCTGCCTGCTGGAGAGAGACTGTACGTGGCTGAGGTGAGGTCTTGCTGAGGTGTGCTGCTGTTGAGGTGAGCTGTTGCTCTCTGTTGGAGGGGGTAGTGAGGGGAAGGGGATGTTGTCCATTGAAGACTTAGACAGGTTGCTGGCTGGCCTACCAAGTGTACTTTACTTCCCTCTCTTGACTTCTTCCACACTACCCCTCCTTCCCTCTCTCTCCCCCATCACATCACATCCCCCCCCCCCCTCGCTCCCCACTCTCCCTTTCCATTTGCACTGCACACACGCACCAGATCTACAACAACAACCGCATCTTCCTCTCGTTCCCCCCACTGGAGAAAATCTCGCCCATTAAGGACCGACACAGGCTCGTGGCTTACTGAAGGAGATCTCCTCTCACCTCCCATATCCTTCCCCCCCGCACCCGTTTCTCCCTTGCCCGCCCTCCGCTTCCCTCTCAGATCTACAATAATCGCATCTTCCGCGCGTTCCCACCGCTGGAGCAGATCTCGTCCATTGAGGACCGAGACAGGCTCGTGGCTTACCGCGTGCCGCGGGGGTGTGAATCCCCCGTTATAGTCACACAGCGAATTAAGGAAGTGTGAGTGTGCTTTGGGAGGGGAGGAGGGAGGTGGGTAAGGAGGAAGGGGGGAGGGGGGTAGGGGGGTGGGGGGTAGAGGTAGGAATTCGGGTCTAATAACGGGTGAGTGTCAGCGAGGAGGAATATGTCTTGGTGATTTCCTCCCCCTCTCCGTGGCTCCCTCCTTCCCATTCTCTGGCCCAATCTCGATGCTTTCTTCTCTTGACAGTTCCACAGTTACAGAACCATTTCCTTCGGCCGCTTCTTGGCGCCCCTGTCCTCCTCCCCTCTGCTCATCCCGTCCCCTCCTCTCCTCTCCTCCTCCTCTCTCCTCCTCCCCTCTCTCCTCCTCCCCTCTCCACTTCCCCTCTCGTCCTCCCCTCTCCCCACCTGTCAACTACCCCCATTCCCCCTTGCAGCTCCACACTCACAAACATTATCTTCTGGCGGCTTGCCGCCCTGCTACTCCTCCCCATCATCCTCCCCACTCTCCTCCCTTCTCTCCTCCCCATTATCCTCCCCACTCCTCCTTTCCCACATCCCCTCTTTTCTCCCCTCTCTTCCCTGCCCTCTTTTCTCCTTTCTCTTTCCTGTGGCTCTCTTCTCTTTTCCTTTTTCCAACGGATCCCCTCTCCTATCCGCAGCTCCACAGTAACCAACGATTTCTTCTGGCGCCTGCACGGTGCGCCTCTCCTCCTCCCGGTCTCCCGCTTTGACATTCGTTCCGGCGCCGACCTTTACCGCCATGTGCGCACTGCCCTGAAGCCCTTCCTGCGACCAGGGGTTTCCGAGACCAAGACCTCCCTCTCTCTCTCCCCTGCTGGGGACAGTGCTGCATCTCCAGCCGATGCCACTTCTCCTGCTGCTGCAGCTGCTGCTGATGGTTGTGTTGTTGCTGGTGGCACAGCTGAAAGCGATGGTGCTGGTGCCAGTGGTGCTGGTGCGAGCGTTTGTGGTGCAGCTGGTGATGGTGGTGCTGGTAGTGTTGGTGCAGACGGCACAGGGGACAGGGGTGTGCAGGGGAAGAATGATCCTATGGACGAATCATTAGGGAGGGATGCCAATACTGGTGATGCATCAGCTGGCGGTGAGGAGGGTGAGGGGGAGAATGGGGCGAATGCGAAGGGATCTGCAGGGGCTGAGGATGCTGCGGGGCAGGGGAGAAGAGAGGGACAGGCGGCAGCAGCAGACGAGCCACCGTTTTTGCTGTCTGTCACGCGAGCGCATGTTGAGACTGCTGCTGATGCTATTCGGATTCCTGATGGTACTGATTTGCCCAAGGGATTCACTCCAGATATGCTTTCCAAGGATGGACTCGCGCTGCTTCTGGATTGGTCGGTCGATGGGCTCATGGAGTTTTACGATGTCGGGCAGCTTGAGGAGCTGCCCGAAGTGAGCTCGGGCAGTGTGGGGCTGCCCATGAAGAACAAGCGGCAGGAGGGAGTGACGCTTTTCTCGTGCCTGGATGCGTTCATCAAAGAGGAACCATTGGGCCCTGATGATATGTGGTGAGTAGTTCTTTTCATCACTTGGCATTCAGCGGTGTTTTGTTTGTTGTTTGTTTGTTTGTTTTTTTTCCCCCCGTTCGTTGGGATTGATTACGCATTTTACTGCTTTTATGTCCGTGATGCCACACTCAGTCATGGTGTCTGATGACATGGTGTCTTGTAGCTTCACTGTTTGCTTGCCCCGTGGTTGCCTGATACATTCGACATCTTCTTTTTCCCGATTCCCCTCAACCCTTTTCTCTGCCCCCTTATCTCTGCCAACTTTCCTCGCCTCAATCAGGTACTGCCCGCAGTGCAAGGAGCACAGGCAGGCAACCAAGAAGCTTGACCTGTGGCGACTGCCGGAGATCCTCGTGGTGCATCTGAAGCGCTTCTCCTACAGCCGCTACTTCAAGAACAAGCTCGACACGCTCGTCACCTTCCCCATCCATGACTTCGACCTCTCGCCGTACCTGCCGCCCTGCAATGCTGAAGGAGGTGGCAATGTGTATGAGCTGTATGCGATCAGCAACCATTACGGTGGCATGGGTGGAGGGCATTATACTGCATATGTGCAGGTGAGTTGGGAGACTCAGCTGATGGGTTTCATTTCAATGCATTTAGTTGTGTCAGGCGACAATCCGCATCCTTCCTCATGCTCTGGGTTTCATCAGTTCCAGTGTGCTCGACCTTTCTCCTTGAATGCAGTTGGGCAACGAGCGCCAATGGCACACCTTCGATGACAGCTTTGTTTCTCCCGCAAGCGAGTCACAAATTGAGACACCTGCGGCTTACGTGCTCTTCTACCGGAGAGATGGGAGCTCACACCACTATGCAACTTCCCAGAACGAAGCAACAGGCGATGAGCAAAAGAACCCCACAGCTGAGGTTACTGACATGGACCGTGACTAGGTTGTTTCGATATATGCTGGAATGACACTGCTTGATAAACGATTCTAAAGCCTAATTAGTGGGTTCCAGGTACCGTCTAAGTTCATTTAATAACTCAACAATGCAGTGAAGAATCGGGAAATTCTCTGTCCCAGTCGTTTTTTTCTTATTTAATGTTCTGTGAACATATTAGATTTTCTGGTGGTTGTATTTCATATTTTCGACTCATTTGCATTAATGACACACATTCACCACGTTTTGGTTGTACAGAGAGACTGTTTCGGCACGTTCACTAAACTAGGCTATGTAAAGAGGTGAACAAAAGAACCAATACGAGAGAAAATGGTTGGCCAGCTCTAACTACATGTGAAGTGGACTGGTCAGATGGTTTATCACTCGTCAGCGGGCTTCTCTTCCTTCTTCTCCTCAGCTGCAAATTTATAAGAATCAAATTATAATCTTGTTCTGGGTAGAGGAGATTGTGCTAAAAAATCCACGCATTACTCACGAGACTCGTCCTTGGCGGCGGCTTCGTCCTGGAGATCAGATGTCCAGAGTGTCAAATTGTCACGAAGAAGCTGCATGATAAGGGTGCTATCCTTGTAGGACTCCTCGCTCAGAGTGTCAAGCTCGGCAATAGCCTCGTCGAAGGCTTGCTTGGCCAGTTGGCAAGCCCTGTAAATGGAAAAACAATGTTAGAAGCTAACCTTCACAGGAGGAAATGTCTGCACAATGGAGAAGTACGTACTTCTCTGGTGAGTTCAAAATCTCGTAGTAGAACACAGAGAAGTTCAGGGCAAGACCAAGGCGGATGGGGTGGGTTGGTGCAAGATCGACGGTCGCGACCTCGGAAGCTGACTGGTACGCCTTCAACGACTGCTCAGCGGCCTCCTTCCTGTCAGCGCCAGTCTTGAACTCTGCGAGGTAGCGGTAGTAGTCACCCTTCCTGAAAACAGAAAAGACAAGCTTAGAACCAATAACTGGATACAACCCTAGTTGCGCATGCAAAACAATGAACACACATTTTGTAGTAGAAAACCTTCGACTCCCCAGTGCCAGATGAGGGGATCAAATTGCTGTCAATGATGTTGAGGATGTCTTGGCATATATCGGAGAGCTCCGCCTCAATCTTCGACCTGTACTCCTTGATCCTCGCCACATTCTGCTCGTTGCCCTTGTTCTCCTCCTGAATGTAGGGGACAAAAAAGGAACGGTAAGGATAATGAATACAGAATCCTAGTGACTTCAAAATGTAAGTCACGAGAGAAGGATTTGCTATTTGATTAACATATCGGACCTTCTGCTCGATAGAAGACATGATTCTCCATGAAGCCCTGCGAGCACCAATGACGTTCTTGTAGCCAACGGAGAGGAGGTTGCGCTCCTCAACGGACAGCTCGACGTCGAGCTTGGCAACATCCTTCATGGATGAAACCATCTCTGAAGGTGACAACGGCAGGCGTCATTAAAATAGAAAAAAGAAAACTACAAATCTGTGGTCGCACAAAACGTGGAAAAAAAACAAAACCATTAATTCGAACAAAGTGTGCTCAGCTCATGCTTTAACTCACCATCGTAGCGCTCGGCTTGCTCCGCGAGCTTAGCAAGGTAGACGTGGTTCTCGCGTTCCTTCTCCATTTTAATGAAGTAATAACTGTGAGGTAGATAGAGAGACACTATTAAGGAAGAATTGTCAAACCTAGAACTTAGTGGGAGACAACAGCAGCTAATGCAGAGAGCCTCTGAACCTGGCCTAACTTGTTACACACCTCGGATGTTGGAGGAGGACTGGGCAGCGGAGAAACAGGTGAGTGACAAAATGAAAGCTGAGTCAGGGCCTGAAATCTCAAGGATGGATACTTCAAGAACCTTGATCTCTCAATCACGACAATCGGCCGACGCCACGTGGATCTAGGTTAGGGAGCAGCGAGCCTCCTTCGGAGCTTAGGTCATCTGCCAGCGGAGCTTAGGCCCCAGATTACCGCTCTACTGAACGGTTCGGATGGCTTGGAACCCTTGGGTCCATGACAGAGCTGCTATGTCGGCGGGTGGCCTTGGGAACCGAACCTCCGCTATCATTGCGAAGGAATTTGTACACCGCGTACTTCTACCGTATATGATAAAGCGGTGCAAGTTATTCTTTGAATAATTCGAGTTATTTCTGCCTACAGCAAATTTGAAGACCTTTGACATAAAAGCAACTTACAAACGGCTCACTGAACATGGTGTATGTTACTTTCATCCTTGTGATTTCTCTTTCAGCCATGCCAGCACATCCTTCCATACCTCCTCTCTCTCTGGCTCTGGTTCACCTTGCAGCAGCTGGTGCCAGGCTGATGGATATATATGGAGCGTCTTATCTTTACTCGGAGCCTTCTCATGCAAGTCTCTGGACTGGTCTGGATCTGTTACACCATCTGATCCACCATGCATGATGAGGAATGGCAAATGCAGGTTTGGAATGGAGGCTGTAACAGCATCGGCGAAACGCAGGAGCTCGAAGGCAACGCCGAGGCGTGGGTTACCACTGTAGCGGCGTGGGTTCTTGAGAGCAACTTCAAGTTTTGCAGGATCTCGGCACGAGAGGCTGGATAGTCCATGGGAGAGGAGGGATGGAGAAAGAAAAGTCGGAGCGAAGTTGAAGATGTGAAATATGTTCAAGGGAGAAGCAGTGCAAGAGAGTGATGCCCAGAATTCTGTTAAGACCGAAAAACATGAAGATAATTGCCAGAACAACACAGCACATGGTCTCACCGAATCAGGTCTCCCTTGGTGGCCACAAAGGCACTGTCAGGAATGATCGTTGCAAGGACCCGAAGAACCTGCAGTGCAGCCCAGCTAGGCTGCAGCTCCTCCTTGATGCGCAGCATGGGAGACACCATGACCAGACCAGTCCAGCTGTCAGGATCACGCCTGAGAACAGAAAAAGAAACACACCTCATAAGAAGGCGTACAAAACAAACAGGACATTATACCGAAAAGAATGGAAGGAACTGAGCAGCTGTTGACCGGTCTGAAGCCTGACACTGGCAGCATGAAAGGGAGAAAGGAACGAATGGGATGGTCGGACCGACAGAAAAATCAAGCGAAGGTGCTGCTGGCTCCTTACAGTGCAACGGTCATGGCGATGGCGCCTCCCAGCGACTCCCCGTACACGAAGGACGGCAGCCCTGCGAAGTCAGGCTTCGCCTTCACAGATGAGAAGTAGGCGGAGCAGTCGTCCACCAGTTGCTCCGCGGACCTGAACGAGCATCTCAGACCGTCCGATTTGCCGTGGCCCTCAAAGTCGATGCCAAACACTGCGAAACCCTCCGAGGCGAATCGAACGGCGGTGAGCTGTGAGAATTGGAGGAGAGGAAAAATGAGGAAACGTGAAGGTAACTGGTCGTGACGGGACGGTCGGACTCAGGTAATAAATTGTGAATATTAACTGGAGAGGGGATCTCTTGCCTGCATCAGCCAATTGCAGCAGTTGGCGTAGCCATGGCAGAAAAAGAGGAGGGCCGACGGCGTGCGATCAGCTGAACAACGAGACGGTTCGAAGGACTCAGATTATGGGACAGAATTGGAAATGGCAGAAGGAAGAGTTCTGATCAGGTAACGAGAACAGGAACGGGATGAGGAATATGAAACGGTGGGTGGTAGCTCGCATACAGAGTTACTGATCTGAATTCAGTCGAGCCTAACGGTTGTGATCCTCACCAGGCAGCCATGACTGCGTGTAGAGGCGGATATTTCTCGCATTCGTGATGTATTCAGCGGAGTGGACCACTTTATTCTGCTCGTAATAGGCCGCTGCGCTCGTTCCGAAGAGGATCCTGTCGAGTTCCTCCTCAGTAGCTTCCAGTGGCTGCGCAGTAGCCATGATTGCGAACTGACGGGAGTTTTTGTGACTGGAGACTGGTGGTAGCATTATCAGGTTTTGTCAACCATTTTGAACTTCGCATGGGGATGAACGGTAGCCCAGATGTTAGCGCGCTCGCTTAGCATACTAGAGGTGGTATGGGGAGTTGTTTCTGACAAAAATTCTTACAGTGAATCCGAGGCACTCTAAAACCATGACATAAAAACAACGTACATATGGCCCACTGAACTTGTTTATTAATGTATATTTCATCCTCCTGATTTCTCTTTCAGCCATTCCAGCACATCCTTCCACACCTCTTCTCTCTCTGGCTCTGGTTCACCTTGCAGCAGCTGGTGCCAAGCTGATGGGTATATATGGAGCGTCTTATCTTTACTCGGAGCCTTCTCATGCAAGTCTCTGGATTGGTCTCGATCTGTTACACCATCTGATCCCCCATGCATGACGAGGAATGGCAAATGCAGGTTTGGAATGGAGGCTGTAACAGCATCGGCGAATCGCAGGAGCTCAAAGGCAACACCAAAGCGTGGTTTACCACTGTAGCGGCGTGGGTTCTTGAGAGCAACTTCAAGTTTTGCAGGATCTCGGAATGAGAGACTGGATAGCCCATGGGACAGAAACAAGAGAGGTGGAAGGGGGGGGACAATGCAGAAGGTGCGAAGTATGGTCCAAGAAAATTATGGCCAGACAGCGTAATAAGCTAAGGCAGGAAAGGAATTTGCCAGAGAAACAGCACATAGTCTCACCGAATCAAGTCACCCTTCGTGGGCACAAGGGCACTGTCAGGAATGATCGTAGCAAGGACTCGAAGAGCCTGCAGTGCTGCCCAGCTGGGCTGCAGCTCTTCCTTTATACGCAGCATGGGAGACACCATGACCAGCCCAGTCCAGCTATCAGGATCACGCCTGAGAAAACAGAACCAACATTGAAAAACACATTGTGCGGAGGCTCACAACACAGTTAAGAAAAGATGCAACCTACTCATGGGCATGATGTTGACTGATATAGAAACTGTCATTTGAACAATAAACGGAACGACTCGGTGGTTCACATGACACATGACCAGGAGGAGATGTTGCTGGCTTCTTACAGTGCCACGGTCATGGCGATTGCGCCTCCCAGCGACTCCCCGTACACGAACGACGGAAGCCCTGAACATTCAGCCTTCGCCTTGACGGACGCGAAGAAGGCGCAGCAGTCGTCCACCAGATGCTCTACGGACCTGAACGAGCATCGCAGACCGTCCGATTTGCCATGACCCTCGTAGTCGACGCCAAACACTGCGAAGCCCTCCGAGGCGAATCGAGCGGCTGTGAGCTGCGAGAATCGCAGGAGAGGTGGAATGAGGCGGAAATGAGAATAGCTGGTCGTGACAGGTGAGCGTCGGATTCAGGATATGAAATGTGAAAAACAACCGGAGACGGGGTGCCTTGCCTGCATCATCCAACTGCAGCTGCTGGCGTAGCCGTGGCAGAAGAAGAGGAGGGCCAACGGCTTGCGATTGGCTGAACGACGAGAAGGTTCAGAGGACGCATATCATGAGAAAGAATTGGGAATGGCAGCAGGAAGTGTTTCGATCACGCACGGAGCAAACGGGAGCGGGACGACGATAATCCAACAGCTGAGAGGGAAGTGAGAAAGACTGAACGTGCTAGCTCGCATGCAGAGCTACTTGCTGATTCTCAAATTCAGTCGAGCCTAACGTTTGTAATCCTCACCAGGCAACCATGACTGCGTGTAGCAGCGGATGTTCCTCGAATTCGTGATATATTCAGAGGAATGATTCACTTTATTCCGCTCGTAATAAGCCGCTGCGCTCGTTCCGAAGAGAATCATGTCGGGTTCCTCCTCACTGGCTTCCAGCGGCTGCGCAGTTGCCATGACTGCGAACAACAGCCCAAGTAATTATGACTGGAAACCGACTTAAAATAATGTATATATAAAAGTCAAGGTGCGATTTTCACACGGGGATGTAGCTCAGATGGTAGAGCGCTCGCTTAGCATGCGAGAGGTATGGGGATCGATACCCCACTTCTCCACATTTTGTTGAGATGCCTCAGCTAGGAGATCGTCACACTGAAGATTTGAAGGTCGCATGTTCGAACAACGCTCACAGCACAGTTTTGTATCTTCCGACTCGGAGGATTCCAAATTCTCTCTCACCACCACTTGAGTTCTTGCGGCTGTCTTCCCGCTCTGGCACTTCTGATGGACAATCTCTCGGTGTGGTAGCATCAACCCAATTCATCACCACATGCAGTGGCAATCATCACAACATCGTACCTAGGTTGTAAGTTGCCACTGGCAGTGGCAGTAATATATTATAGCAGCATCCTGCAGCCCTTTTGTTTAGGCCTCGTGTGAAGTAGTGTTAAGGCCTGACAAGGTCACGAATGAAGGTCTCAACGTCATTCAGATTATCACTAGCCACGGAACACTCTGCAAATGTCACTGGGTTGACGCAGTCAGCGAACCGGAAAACGCCTCCACTGCTTTTCAGAACAAGCCATTGTGACCCTCCGTCCTTGCTGGAGCCAACAGATGCCATGGAATGGCGTGACGAGCGCAGCTTCTCACTGCCATAAGATAAAGAAAGAAAAGTGTGTGTCACATAATGCGTGAGCGCAGTGGTGCATGGTAAAACAGGAAAACGGGAGGAGGAATGCATGTCATGTCACTAGTAAGGTAGCAGTAATGCTGGCAGTACTGTTTTATCCAGGAATTAATAAACAAAAGTGGCGCATGTGCACGTGACTCACATTTCCTTCTCAAGTTGCTTCCGGATGAACTCCACCGAGTGTGCCGTCACTTTCTCCATCTTGTTGCACGCCAGCAGCAGCGGTACCCGCCTCCGTTGCACCGCAGCAGATGAGAGCAGCTCATACAGGTACCTGGCGCAGAAGCATGTGCAGAGAGCCATGAAATGATACATAAGTGTACAACTTACTCAGTGAAGATGCACGCGAAAACAAAAAACACATCCACGAGACGATCAGTGTATGGCACATAGGCTGACAGAGCGCCTACTCTGCGTTAGGTCGGATGTTGAGAGTGAAATCAAGGGCATCCACCAGGAACACGATCCCACAGGCGCGGGAGAGGAACGGAGCCCCCAGGGAGCGCAGGCGGGGATGGCCAGGCAGGTCCACCAGATGCACTGGACGGGCCCTGGGGTTCTGGGAACACACAAGGACGCATTGGTGTGGGAAGGAGGACGAGGGAGGTGATAGAGAATCAGAGAAACGAAGGAATGAGGAATCCAAGACGACATAAGAAGGGAAGGAGCATTATGAAGCCTAATCAAAATCAAGAACGGATAAGAAGAGAATGAGCATCATGGAGCGCGGCCAGAATGCTGGAAAAAGGGACCACGGGTTGGTGGAAGACAAATAGAAGACGAGTGGCAGTAGCATAAGCTGCAAAACATCTTTCATATGCTCTCTGTGTGTCCCTGACCATGCATTTCCAGCTTTCCACCTTTTCATTACCTTGCTCTGCCCCGTGTGCAGGGGAAACTTGTATTCGTTGCCTGTTTTTGGGGCGACTAAGAAATTACCTTGCTCAGCTCGGCGTGCAGGGGGAACTTGTCATCGTTGACTGCCATGGACGTCACTGTGCCGCCGTGGGTTGACCCATCCCGCAGCTGCCACGTGTGAGTCAAGGAGAGGGGGGTAGTGGAGGGAGACAATGATGGACAGCAGGCTTTTGGAAGGACAGGTAAGAATGGCAGACGTTGACGCGTGAGCCAATGAACACTTTTGAAAGATATAGTGCTTTTCAAATATGACCCGGAAGTGAAAGAACAATGGCTCCTAGTGCCTGTTGACAGTGTTTGGTATTCAACAACAGGCGCTATAAGGGTTGCGAATGATGATCGAATTCGCACCTTGTACCAGAGGGACGTCTTGCCGGCTCCGCACAGGCCCAGAAGCACGATGGTGTTGAATCGAGGGCCCGCGAAGGCCAAACGCACAGCTGGAGCGGAAAGGATGCACGTGAACGGACGAATTCGAGCGATCAGGACATGAAGAACGAGACGGACATGCGAAAGACGAGCGTATTAGAATCTTGGCGCTCCTTACGGAAAAATCTTTAAGCAATTTGATAGCTGTTCACGTACCTAGGAGGAATATAAGAGAGGCCAGTAGGACGCCGATCGTGGACAGCAACAGAGCCGTCTCAACGCGAACATTAAGAGCTCGGCTTATATCGAGGAATACAGGGGATGCTTGCACGACGGGCGGAAGCACATTCCAGAGAGAAGTCTCAGCCTTTGATAAGTACTCGACAGCTAGAGACTTAAGTTCCTCTACTGACGGTAGCTGCTCCATCGGTGCCGCAAACGCGAATCTCGCTACACACGACTTTGGATTAAACAAACGCGAGGAACTCCGAAGTAAGATCAACTAGCCGACTCGTCGGAAGGACGCTTCGAGCAAGCTGTGCGAGGACTCTAGGATAATACAGCTTCACATTTGTACATAGTGGATAAGAAGCTTCTCAGATCCAGCTCTGGGTGGTGAGATGTGATGAGAAGGGTACGGGCGGGAAGGGAGCCTGACAGTGTACGCGTTATCGAACACTTAAGTATGATCGATTCTGAAGTCAATATACTAGCTTGTCTGAAAGATAAATTCCTTATTTTGAGTTTATATCAGGTTCGTCAGGGACTGGAGGGGTCGAAAGATGGCGGGAGGGAATCACGGCGGCGCGGGCAGCGTGGAGCCAAAAGGCTGCGTAAAGTGCGGGCAAGCTTCATAACTTTTTCTGGTGTGGAACGAATCGTGGCACGAAGTCAATTTCCGGAGGCTGCCCGGCCCGAAACAAAATGTCGAATCTCGAGGATTGGGCAGGGCAACACCAAGGAAACGCAACCAGCACCCCTACCCCAACTCCCCACTCGCAGTCAAATTCCAACGGTCGAATTTCAAGACCGCACAACTCAACAGCCTCTCAGATCGCGTTCCGAGGTTGGGAGGTGGGTGGGACGCCATGCAAACACGCTCACCATACTTCCAGTCCCTGCTTCTTTATTCCTGGTTGTTGCTCTCCTGCCTTGAGTTTCCTTCGCGTCCTCGTCCCTCTCGTCTCCTCGTTGTTCAGACTAGCTGGTTGTCCTGTCCCGTCAAAAGCTAGATTACCATCACCAAAGCTGTAGCTGTTAGTCGTTCCACAATCGTGACTCCTTCGCTCCTCACGATTCAATTACGTCGGCGGTATTTAGATTAGCCCGAGTTGGCCTAGCAGAGCTTATGGAATAAGCAAATCTCACGCTCGTGCGAGTATAATCCAGTCACTCGTTAGCTGCCAGGTCCCTAGCCATGGCAATCACGCAGTTAATCGAGCCGCAGCCGCTGCAGACTAGTAGGGTTGCGCTAAACGACGTTAAGAAGAGCCTCCTAGTGGCGCTCGGGAAGCTCAACGATCGCGACACGCAGCAGAACGCGGTCGGGGATCTGCAGAATATCGTGGAGTGCCTGCCGCCTGAAGGCATTCCCGTCTTCCTCTCCTGCCTCTACGAGACTGACAGCACCCATCGCACGTTCGTCCGGAAAGAATGTCTCAGGTAATGCCTCCTTAATTCACAAAATCGCTGGCAAGGAGATGCCACAAGTGACGCCTCCACCAGACGACGAAAAATCATCGCTGTCGTTTTCATTGGTTTGCCGTCGTCCCATACGATCAATGGCACGGTATTTATTTCTTCTTCTTTTTTGTTCATTGCTGTTACTCCGTTCCACGTCACCTGAACATCGCAGGCAATTCGCCATCCTTGCGATGACCTTCGGCCCGCTCCTGTCGCCGCACCTTCCCAAGATCGTCGCAGCCGTCGTCCGTCGCCTGCGCGACCCCGAGTCCACCTTAATTGAATCCTGCGCAGAAGCCATGGCGACACTAGTTCAGCACGTTCCCCCACCTCCCCACGATACCGTCCCCGGAGCTATTCCCGTCGGCGGCTTCGGAGCCATGGGCGTTTACGTTCGGCCGCTCCTCGACACGCTCGGCGAGCAGAGCCGAAACTCGCAGGCAGGTGCGGCGATCTGTCTCGACCGCGTCTTCCGGGCTGCCCGGGAGAAAATGGAGCCGAGCGCGGCGCGCGTGCTGATGCGAGCGAACGGCATGCTCTCGCGGCAAGGGTTTCAGGCGAAGGCGCAGCTTCTGGGCGCCGTTGCGAGCCTTGCCGAGGTACGTCGTCTTTCCCGCCTTGCTCAAGCCTCTAGTACTTTGACGTTCTTTCTTTCCGCATAAGTTCACGGGCTCGCATGCCCGCATAGGAATAGACTATGCCTCGCTCTCAGCAGAGTGCTTTTGGGTTTTATTCACCCCCCCTTCCTTTCCGCGCCGTCGCTCCGCGCAGGTGTGCGGGGAATCCATGGGCGCGCAAGTGCCCGTGCTGGTATCCGCCGCGACCGCCGCCGTGGCGTCCGCGGACTGGGCCACGCGCAAGGCGGCGGTGGACCTGCTGGGGCAGCTCGCCATCAACCTGCCGGCGGAGTTTCTGGGGGAGAGCCGCGCGGCCGTCATGAAGGCGCTGGACCAGTGCAAAGGCGATAAGGTAGGGCGGCGGGATACAGGGGGAAGCGAGGTAAAAAGGGGCGAGATCAAGGGAGTAAGGTAGGCAGCTAGCCATCAACCTTGCCGGCCGCGTTTCTTTGGGAGAGCCGCTCGGCGGTCATGAAGACGCTGGATCAGTGCAAAGGGGATAAGGTCGGGCGGCGGTGCCCTGGACAGTGGGTAAAGGGGCCGGACTTAAGGGGTTAAGACTTAAAGGGGTTAAGTAGGGCGGTGGCACACGGCGACAAGGTAAGGGGGACAAGGCAAAGGGAAAGGTAGGGTGGGGGTAAGAGGGCGGTGGATCTTCTGTGGCAGGTCGCCATCAACCTGCCTGCAGCCGCGCCAGGGTGATAACGCACGCTGGGGAAGCAGGGGAGACAAGTGTGGAAGGCGTTGGGAGTGTGCAACACTGCAATGGACGCTTGCTGCATCACGTGCACACCTCTCTACTCCCTTCAACCCCTTACATTGAATGTGTTCTGCAGGTGAAGAATGTGCGCGATTCCCTGGCGCAGGCGAAGCAGGCGTGGGCGTGTGTGGAGTGGGAGGACCCGCCCGCAGCTGGGCAGCACCAAGTGCTGTCCGTGCCGTCCCTCTCGTCGGAATCGGCGGCGACTGCAGTGCAAACTCCGTCGCTGTCCTCTGCTGCTGTTGTTGGCAGCGCATCAGGTACGGAGAGACGCGTATGGGGGTGTGCGAGAGGCATGTGTGGGAGTTTGAGACGCATATGAGGTGGTGTGAGACGTGCCTTTCAACTCATGATGATGCATCTGTCCTCCCCAATGCTACATGGTTTCAGGCTCCATTTCAACCGTACAGTATGGTAAAGTGTAGGACGAGAATGGTCCTGTTGTGTGCTCACCTCTGCTCACCTTTGTGACGGCACATTTATTTTCGCTTTCACGTTCCTGTCCGTCGCCCTCCTGCACCTTCCAGGAAGGCGCGCCAGTTTCTCACCTGGTGCAGCAGACGACAAAAGCATTGGCAGCCGCTCATTCAAGCTTCAAGGCCGCTCGTCCTCGCTTGTAACAGACCCGTTTGAAGACGCTCGAGACGCAGCAGAGACAGAAGAAGCAGCAGCTGCAGCATCAGCAGCAACAGCAGCATCAGTATCAGCAGCTACAGCAGCAGCAGCTGCTGCTGCCAGTGTGACCCCTCCTGTGAAGCGGGGAGGAGTGAGCGGCATGCTGGCACGCACCTTCAGTGGGCTGGGCCGAGCTCGAGCTAAGGAAGCAACAGCAAGTGCTGCTGCTGTAGGAGTGGCAGGAGCAGGAGGAGGAGCAGGAGGGGAGGGAGGAGAAGAGGGCGGAAGGAAAATCGGACTGAGCAAAGGGGGGATTGGGTCCCACGCATGGGCTCCGGAATTATCTCAGTCGAAACCCGGAGAAGCTTCCAAAGGAGAAGCTACTAACGCGGATAATGGAGCTGGAGAGAAGGCTGCTCGGCCTAAGTTTGAGCGGCAGCCGCTTCGAGGAAACCCTCTGTTTTTCAATAAGGCGGGCGCAGGGGGGAAGGCTGGGGGAGGTGACGACTGGTCCGTGGAAGTGATGGTTCCTAAATCGAAGGCCGGGGCAGTTGGGGAGAAGGGTGACAGTAACGGGGGGTCGGGTGAGGGCAGTGGAGGGAAGAAGGGTGATGGGAGGGAAGAGGGCAGGCAGGGTGCAGCGGCGGGGGCGGGGGCAAAAGACAGTCGTGCGCAAGCGGATGGTGTGAAGGCGCGGAGGAATTCGACTTCGGGGATTGCTGCTATCAAGGCTGCGGCCGCTGCTGGTGGGAGAGGCAAGGAGGGCGCAGGGGGAGGGAAGGGAGCAGGAGCAGGTAGCGATTGGAATGTGGAGATTCTAGTGCCTAAGACACGTGGCGGATGGGGCAAGGGCGGTGGCGAGTCAGAGGAGAAGCGGGAGGTGAATGGAGAAGGAGTGAAGGAGATGAACGGAAGGGGCGGTTCGGACAAGGCTGACTTGCAGCAGGAGGAGGTGGCGCCGAGTGCGATCCAACAGCAGCAGCAGCAGCAGCAGCAGCAGCAGCAACAGCAGCAGCAGCAGCAGGAGCAGCTCCACCATCAGCAGCAGCAATACCACCAGCAGCAGCAGCAGCACCAGCAGCAGCAGCAACATCAGCAGTATCAGCAGCAGCAGCAGCAGCAGCAGCAGCAGCAGCAGCAGCAGCAGCAGCAGCAGCAGCAGCAGCAGCAGCAGGAGAATCAGCAGGTGCAGGAGCGAGTGGAGGAGAGGAACGAGGACGAGAAGCAGGAATTTCTGCACCACATGCTTCGAGAGGTAGAGGGAGAGAAGGACACCGGAGGGAATACTGAACCCAGTGGTGCTTATAACAGGGGGCAGGAGGAGGGAGTGGGGGGTGTTATCAATGCTGCGGGAGGGCCTGCAGCGAGGTATGCTACTGGGTTGGAGAGTGAGGAGGAAAGGGAGGAGGAGGAAGAGCGGGAGGTGAAGAGAGAGTGTGAGGAGGAAAAGGCACCAAAAGTGGAGAAGCGCGGCGAGGAGTCTCAAGGCGCAGAGAATGACGCTTATGGTTCTAGCGAGTCTGACAATGACGAGGATGGGAATCAGCGGGAAGGTAGGGCAGGCGTATGGGAGGAGAGGAAGGGGCGGAAGGCAACGGGGGGTGGTGATGCCTTGGGAAGGCAGAAGTGGAGCAAGGGCAGGAACAGATGGAAGGACGGTCAGGGGCAGGGGCAGGGGGTGGGGGAGACAGAGGAGGAGAAGAATAGGAAGGGGGAGGAGGAGGCGGGTAGAAGGGGCAGGGGCGTGGGGAATACGGGGAGGGGAGAAGGGGGAGGGGCGCTGCGCAAATCGTATGACTGGGGGGGCGCGGGGAAGGCTGGGAGGGGAGGCAAGGGTGGGGGAAGAAAGGAGGGAGTGAGAGAGGCGGAAGAGAGGGGGAAGAGAGTGGATGGGGTTGGGAGAAGGGAGAGGGGAACGTGGGGAGAAGGAGGCGGTGGTATGAGGAGGAGTAATTCTTGGAGCAGTAGTCTCTCTCTTGATACCACCGGTGGTGGGAAAGCCAGGGTCGTGCAGGGTAAAGGAGGGTGGTGGGATGGGGAGGAAGAGGAGGGTGAGAGGGTGGAGAGAGGGCGAATGAGGAGAAAGGAGGGTAGGGAGGATGGGAGGGGAAGGAGGAGGTATGGGTCACTGAGCAGTCATTTGTCTTCAAGCGAGGAAGAGGAGGAGGATTATGGGGAGTCTTTTCCTCGTGCTCGTATGAGGCGTGGGTGGGCTAATAACGAGGATGCTATGGATTCGAGTCCGAAAGGAGGCCGCAGAGACGGAAGGTCCGGTGTTGGGAAGGGTGTGAAGCAGCAGCAGAGGCGGGGCGACACGTGGCAGAAGCAGGAGGTGACACGTCAGGAGGAGAAGCTCGGGCGGAGGAGGCCGCAGCAGAGTCAGTACCAGGGGCAGCAGCACCAGTCGAGGCAGAGCGGGTTGAAGAAGGCGGATGGAGAGCAAATGCAGATTAGACGCTCCTATGACTTGAGTCAGGCGTACCAGAGCAAGCAACAGAAGCAGCAGCAGCAGCCACAGCCGTGGGAGCGGAAGGGGAGGGGTCGGAGGGCGGAATGGGGAGGGCAGGCGGCGCAGGTGGTACTGATGAGCGACTCTGGCAGTGGCGTGGGACCGTGGCCTCGAGGCAGGGAGAGGGACAGCGGGGTGAGGGGTGTGAGGAAGGGAGGCGGTAGGGAGTGGGAGAGGGGTGATGAGGAGGAAGATGAGGATGAGGATGAGGAAGAGGGGGTGATGGAGGGCGAAGAGAATGGGCTCGGGGGAGGGCGGAGGGGAAGGGGAAGGAGCAATAGAGGCACTTCTGCTGCTGCTGCTGCAGCTGTGGCAGAGGCAGTGGAGGCAGAGGTACAGAGACTGAGGCAACGAGTGGCTGATATGGAGCGGCAGCAGGACAGCTACCAGGGCATGGTGGAGGTGAGTGGTTCACTTCATGAGGCGTGCTGCGCTGTATGAATGTAGAAATTCTGAAAGGCTAGAAATCAGGGCAACGAGTGGCTGATATGGAGCGGCAGCAGGACAGCTACCAGGGCATGGTGGAGGTGAGTGGTTCACTCAATGGAGCATATCAAGGTTATATGTATATATTTGTATATGTATTCGACTGAAGGAATGTGTGGCTGCTGCTGTTGGAGCAAGCTACCAAGCTGTGTTGGAGGTGAGTGGCTGCTGCTGTTCTGATTCTTCTGTGCCCTCCATTCTCCCTGCCCTCCGCTCGTCAGGGTTGCATGAGCGCTGCCAGGCGAACCATTCCCAGCCTCGAGCTGCAAATGCTCACTGCCGCTTTCGCTCCCCCCACTCCACTTATTCCCTTCCGCCCCTCCCTTTCCCCTGCACTCCCTGCCCTCCATTCCTCAGGGTTTCATGAGCGCTACCAGGCGAACCATGGATAGTCTCGAGCTGCGAATGCTGTCCCTTGAAGGCTCGCTCTCTACCCTCAAGTCCCTGCACCACCAGCAGAACCAGCACGAGCAGCAGCAGCAGCTAGCGTTGGCTGAAGCAGAAGCGGTGCAGCTGCAGCAGCAGCAGATTCAGCAGGCTTACCACGAGCAGCAGCAGCAGTTGCAGCAGGTGAAGCTGTCATATTTGGAGCAGCAGCACCAGCAGCAGCAACAACTAGCACTGAGAACCACACGAGCCATGCACAGTGTTGCTGCTTCTCCAGTGGTAGCCTCTCTCCCTTGGACCTCCAATGCTGCTGCCTCCCCCTCACCCCACGCTGTCCCCACCTCTCCTCACCCCATCTCCACCTCCGCCCTCCCTACCATGCCCTCCCCTTACCTCCCTGCTCGCATTCGCACCACTGCTGGTGGTGACAGCAGCAGGGGGCTCACCCCTGGACGAAGGCTGTCGTTGCAGGGAGGAGGGATGGGTGGGATAGGGAGCAACGCAGGGGGGATAGGCAGTGGGTCTGGTGCTGGTGGCTTCGTGCAGGCACAGCCATTCATGGGTGGGTTTGGTGGTATTGGAGCAGGGAATGAAGCAGCTTATACGGAGGATGATTATGCTGCGGCTGCTGCAGCTGTGGCCGAAGCAGCGGCGGCGGCAGCAGCAGCTGAGGCGGCACGTGTGGCTTCATTCCAAAGTCAGCAGCAGCAACAGCAGCAGCAGCAGCAGCTGGTAACTCTAAGGAGAACCTCTTCCTTGAGCCGCGGACAGAACGCCACTCCTCCCACTGGCCCTCCCCGTACGCCTCCCCACTCCTCTACCGTCTCGTCCCCTCGCCTGCCTCTCAACACAAGCATGAATGTAGAACACCAGCAGCAACAGCAGCCGGAGCAGCAGCAGCAGCAGCCGGAGCAGCAGCAGTTGTTGCTGCAGTGGCGAGGCAATTCTAGTCAGCAACAGGATCAGAGCGAGCAAATGAACCTTCACCAGGCTCAGCCTGAGCAGCAGCAGCAACTGAGAGCAGAGACGTTGCCAACAGCAGAGGGAGGAGGAGGAGGGAGAGGAGGCGGGGGAGGTGAAAGTGCAGAAGCAGCAGCAGATAAGCCTCTAGGGCCGCTGAAGCGCCAGGTGGCACCAGCCAATTGGTCGTGGGCTGTGGCTTTAGATGAGCTCAAGGCCGGGGGGTTCGAGGGTGCTTATAAAGAGGTGCTGAAGGCTGCAGATGCGGGTGCTATGGTGCGGCTGATGGGCCGAACCGGGCCTGTGCTGGGGCATCTGTCGCCTGATACCGGGGCGGAGGTTATACGGCGCATGGTGGAGCTGCTTATAAGGGGGACGTCGGTGGAATACCTGCTGCCATGGGTTCGGCAGGTGAGGCGATGGGAGGGGGTGATGTGCTATGCTGAGATGTGTGCTGTTGGTGGGCGGATGCATGGAGGCAGGGGCATGATCTTGCTTGGCTTGCTGATGCTCTGCACTGTGTGGTTCGGGCCATCACAACCGTTCGTTGTGTTCTCATCTGCAGTTACACGGCAGTGAACCCATGTGTGAAGCAGCAAGGGTTCGGATTTGTCTTTTCCTAGCTCCCTTCCCCCCACATTCGTTTCCCTCCCATCAACCCCCCAGGTGCTAGACATATTGACGGACGAGTCATCTTTCCCATATGGAGACGACTTTTGAGACGTCTCAAAAGCCATATGGAGCAGAGGGCCCGGCAGTGGATGGGCATCTGAAGCACCCCACGTGCTTACACCCTCCTTTTCTCCCCCCGCCCTATTCCCCGCCCATCACCCCCAGCTGTTGGACATAGTGACAGACGAGTCCTCTCTGCCCTACGGGGCAGAGGGTCCGGCAGAGGATGGGCATCTGAAGCACCACGTGCTAGCAGCCTGGCTTTCCCCCTCACTTTACTCCCCTATTCTTCCCTTCCCATGACCCCCCCAGCTGCTGGACATAATGACGGACGAGTCATCTCTCCCGTACGGAGCAGAGGGTCCGGCAGTGGACGGGCATCTGAAACAGCACGTGCTGGCAGCGTTGCAGCAGGTGGTGGGCGCCGATGGGGGCAGCTGGGTGGGACGATCAGCAGGCGATTACCGGCGACAGCTGGCTGATGCATGGGGCATGTGAGGAATATGAGGGTTTTGGGTCTGGAGTGAGCACTGTAGCGAGATCGATCATAGACAGTGCTGCAAGATGCTTCAGGAAGGAGTGCGAGCTGCTGTGGCAGCTGGGCCTTGGGGTTAACCTGCAGTAGCATTGTTGTCTGTCCTTGACTCTTCTCTTTTGGAGCTTTGGTCCAGTCCATTGTGTTTGGTTTGCTGAGTGGTAGTGTCTGTGTATTTACCTTGGTAGTCTACAACTCCGTGTTGGTATTCTGTTTTAGTACAGCTGGATCGAAAGTATATCGTATGTGTCAAATAGATAGCATGCAAACAAGGAAGTTGCCAAATACTATCCAGCCAGCTCACACACAATCACTCATGTCAGACACACCAAACCAAACCCTTCCATATCAAAGTTCCATGCAACTTGCCCTGCCATCCCATGTGCCAATGCCCTGCCATACAACACACCACAACAATATCCCTGTCATAACATAAAATGGGGAGCTCAAATCTTCCCCCCTACCACGAAAGAGCCTCCCTCACACAACTCTCCCCCTCAGCGGGAGATGGGCTGCACCACGAGGGGGGAGCGCACGCTGTGGCCCTGGTTGTCAGCCCAGACTATAAACCCGTACTTGAAGTCATTACTGGGGGTATCCACCGTAAACGTCAGCGTGTAGCTCGCCTTCTCCCCAGGAGCAAGCGTGAGGCTCTTAGCCGACGAAGTCACCTTCACCCCCTGCGGCGCCTTCCCAGATATGCTGTATGTGGACCGGGACTGCCCCACGTTGGTGACGGTGCGGGTGACCTGCAGGGATCCCTGCAGGTGAGGCAGAGTGATGGTGGGCAGGTTGAGGTTGCGAACAGCCAGAGGAGAGAGCTTCACCCCCCAGAACTCCCTTGTCGCGCGGTTGAGGTCCTGCCCGGCAAGGAAATTCTGGTAGTCACGGTCGCGGACATCGTAGGTAAGCCCGGGGTCGAGCATGGCCGGGGGGAACACGTGGCCTGCGCCCATCTCCCACGGGGTGGCCTCCCTGCCCGTCGAACTCTTGATCGGGCTCTTGCTCGTGTCCGTCACCCGCACCGTCGTCATCAGCGCTGACATCACCTGCGCTGGGGTCCAGTTGGGGTACTTCTGGATGATTAAAGCGGCTAGCCCGGCTAAATGCGGGGTGGCCATGGAAGTGCCCGACATGCTGGCAAGACTGCCGGTTTCACCGGGTTTCTTGCCAGGAAAGGCAGCTAAGAGGTTCACTCCGGGGCCGATGATGTCGGGCTTTAAGATGGCGTTGCTTGCCTTGGGCGGCTGGGCCGTGGCGGAGGGCTGCAGCAGGGGGCCGCGGGAAGAGAAGTCAGCCACCACGGGGGCGGAGGAGGAGGCAGTAATGAACGTGATCCCGCCGTCAGCAGTCAGAACGGTGCTACTGCTGCCGCCCGTGCTGTCAGTGCCGTTGCTGCTGGTGGTGGCGCCGAGAGCGAGCGACTGAGCGCCGGCAGTTGAGGAGGCGAGGGACGCGCCGCCTCGGGCAATGGTGCTGGCGCCAACAGTGAGGTAGAAAGGCGCGAAGTTGTCCAACGTGCGGTAGTACCCTCCACCAATACTCCCGGGAGGCCCGCTGTTGCCGGCAGCAAAGGTGACAAACACCCCGGCAGCATTGGCGCGCATGAAAGCGAGATCGTTGAAATAGTGGTCGTTGGGATCGGGAATCTTGCTGCCCAGAGACAGCGACAACACATCCACACCGTCCGCCACGCCCTGATTGACGGCTGCGATGATATCTGACTCCATCGCGGTCATTGCCCCGTTGCCGTCCTTCCAGAAGACCTTGTACGCCGCAATGCGCGCTGCCGGCGCCATGCCGCTCACCTGCCCGCCGCCCTTCACATTCACGGGGTTGCCCGCGGCCGCCCCCGCGCACCACGTGCCATGGCCGTCCGCATCTCGCGGCGTGAGCCAGTCGTTGCTCAGCACGGGCCGGCCGTAGCTCTGCTGGAAGCCGGCATAGAAGGCCTTGGCGCCGATCAACTTGTTGTTGCACCGGAACGAGCTCGACTGCTCGCACTTGCCCTTCCACCCCGCGGGCAGCTGCGCGGAGAGGCCCTTATCGCTGAAGGAAGGGTGTTCGGGCCAGATACCCGTGTCCACGATCCCCACCACCGTGCCCTCGCCCGCCTTGCTCTGCCCGCCAACTGCCGGCCACACCTTTCCGGGCAGCCCCAGGAACTGCGGAGAGTCGGTCGTCTGCCGGCTGAACACGCGGCTGGCGCGGACGGACGCCACGGCGGGGTTGCGCCGCAGCCGCCACAGCTGGCGCGGCGTGAGGCGCGCGGCGAAGCCGTTGGACGTGTGCTTGTAGCTGTAGAGCAGCCCATCCTCGGGTACGCCTGCCTCAGATGCCACCTGCGCCTGCTGCCGCTGCAGCAGCCCCGCGAACGCCGCCACCTGGGGGCGGTCCATGCTCAGACTCAGCCGGTGCCGCGGACACCCGCCGCCGCCATTCCGACCGCCGTTACCGTTACCGCTGCGACCGCCGCGAGCGCTCGGAGTGGCGGCGGCATCAGATGTGCCGTTTGCGGGCGGTGATGATGGCACCGTCGCGTTTGAGAGCTGCTGGTCGCCGTCGGTGTCGTCCAGATCGACGGACTCGCCGCCTGCGGCGGCGGCGGAATCTCCGGCGGGGAGAATCATCTGCGGCACTTCCTCACTGTCCTCTTCGTCGCTGCCGTCGTCCCACGTGGCCGTCGCGGGGTAGCCCGCAATTCCGCCGCGATATTCGGTGAGGGGAGGCGCCGTGCTCAGGCGAACAATGTATACCGCGGAGCCGTCGGCAGGTGGCGTTGCAAAATTTCCGGAGTTTCTGCGGGAGGTCGCCGAGAAGTGAGCATTCTCGCCGCCGTTCCGCCAAGCGCGGTTCAAGTTGCGCCAAGCTGATTCGCGACTTGCACTGGATGGCTGCGCCGCCAGGAGGAATGCGGCGAGAAGCAGTAGCATAAAGATTTCAGAAAAGTCCCTCATGGCGATATATGAAATCTCTGCGTGCAGTTACTGGTTCTAGTGGTGCCTGTCACGGTTGCCTGCAGGCGTTGTTGGCCTAAAACAAGTAGTCGTAGTAGCAGAACGAATCAAGGAACTGAATTGTGATGCTGGTTCGAGTGGGGTTATGCCTCGCTTTGTACTCACCAGCTCACATGCCAAGCGTCAGCGCCACGTTTGGGTCGAGGCCTCGTCGCGCCGCGATGCCCCTGGTGGGGGAAATCTCGGACTCCTGCAGCTTTGGTTGAACAATGTTTCGCCAGTATCGCGAAACATTTCTTGTCCTATAACGAACGACTGTAAGCCTGCCTCGGGGGCTTCGAGATGCAATCACGTATTCGTTAACGTATTCGCAACCACACCCTCCTCAATGGCTCTTCACAAACCGTGACGGGCACTTCACGCTTGGTCCGAGCGTGCACGAGACAGGGCAGACCCTGTGCTTCAGAGGCTTGTGGTTACCAGCACTTCCGTTCGTATCAGATCTCCTGCCCAGGGAAATTCGTGCTGGTAACTTGCGGTCTTTGATTCGGCAAAATACAGTCACGGAAGTCAACTGTGGGTCAGAGACCTCTGGCAACGAGCAAGAAGTTAGATCAATGGTGGGTACAGTAATGATACTTGTGTCTGTTATTGACGCGCGAAACCAGTATGACGGCCGACGACCAAGAGATTCCTGTGACTTGCAGAAATTCGAAATGACAATCACAATGCCGCCATGGCCATGGCGGAGAGCTTTAACTTCGTCAATGTGCATCAATTTCCTGCCTGATACTGACATTGAAACACTCGGACGATGCGCGGCTTTAAGCTCTACACAAAGGTGTACTTTTAGCGTTCATTACGGGAACCTAAACACCATCTACACGAGCTCCAGGCTGTCGACAGTGTTTCATGCATCATCAAGGCTATCTATTGCACATGGCTATTATCAAGATTTCAAGCTTTCCAATGGATATCATCGCGCTTTGCGCTTGGCATTGACTTCAACTCGCGCTACTTTCGAGGCTGACATTTTCTATGGTTGACCAATACCCGAGGTTCTTAACCAACTTGACTGTCTGGTGTTCCCTAAGGTTATGGCTTCCCTCTCGGGCCTGGACCTGCAGCGTTTCAGCTTCAAGCATAAGAAGTATAAACAATCGGATTTATCGTTAAAAGTGCTCAGTCCGGCTTGTCTTCCAGCCTTAAACGGGCTGTCAAGCTTCTCTCATCATCGCACCATGGGGAGAGGTCGCAACAACAAGGATGCTGCTGATAAAGGGCGAACGCCATCCTCCTCTTCGTCGCCTGTGGTGCTTGGTCCCTTTGAAGACTTGCTCGACTCACAGACCAAGGCTGATCTCACCGGCGGACAAGATGGCGACGGTGTTGATGTGGTTGCTGATACCGCTGCTAATGAGGAAGAAGAAGAGGCTGCTGAAGGAGAGGCTGATGCGGATGCAGACGCGCAGGAGGACGAGGAAGCCTCGTCAGATCAGGCTCCTGACGATGACGGCGATGGGTACCTGAGCGATGACTCCGACGAACACCTGGAACCAGCTTCGCTCGGCAGCATTATCGCTTTGAAAAGATTCTCATTAACCTTGCTGGTGCCATTTAACAGGAAACCCGAAGTCAAGCGGACTGCTGTAACTGTGGCTGCATTACTGGATGATTGGAAGGATCAGCTGTCGCCAGATGTGCTGCAGACAACGACTTATCAGGAGCTTACTGCGACCTATTTCCCTGGCACGCGTTATGGTCGCCTTCAGGTTACCTTCAACCACGTCCGCGACGCGAACTTTGTTTGGAGCCAGGTCATCAGACATGAATGCGCGAACGGCGACATCGTCGACTTTACCTGGCAGCATCCTAAAGACGCACGCTTCCTCCGAGAGCGTCTGCTGAACCCGACGGCGAAAGAGGTTGTTGTCAAAGGAGTTACCGCGGACATTACTGCTGAGCTGATACGTCACTTGCTGGTGGTGTCGAAGCTGGTTAAGCGCGGTCGGAGTGCTTTCGCCAGTGGTTTCGGCTTTCACCGTACTGTTGATCCGGTCTCTGGGTTGGACACCGACCGTATCCGCGGCCTGTTTATCCCCCACGCTGATGATGAGTACCGTTGGAGGTACTTTGTGGAAGACCCGTCGACTGGCAGGCGTTACATGCTTCATTACCCATCGCTTACCTGCGAGCTTTGCAGCGGTCAACACCTATCCCGTTACCACGATCACTATGTCACCTCGAGGCAGGAGAACTTCACCATCTGGAACCTGACGGTCAAAAAGGTCCATGACGTGAACGGTATAAGCAGGAAGACCCCTCATCCTCATCTCTCGTATTCGCTACTTTCGCTTTCCACCCCGCTCATAACATGCCTCTCGAACCGTACTGATGACTGTCTCCTCACCTCCTCTCGCAGCGGCTTCCCTGAAAGCCACAGCGTCTCTGGCACGCATTCTGAAAGACCCCGCAGTCATACTCACCTCTACAGGAGGTGTGCAGGAGGAGTGGGTGTGCGTACAGACTGTATGTGAGAAGGCTCAAGGGAATCGTTTCGAGCAGGCGGCGGCTCATGTCGCTTCTGCCAGGCACAAGGGAGGACTGAAGAAACAAGGTGCTGCAACACGTGCCAGCAAGCACTCCCAGAAGATGGCTGCTTTCAAAAGGGAGTTCATGGCCACGTCGGCAAAGAAGTGACCAGCGGCTTAGCGGACGAGATGACGTTGTGGTTGTTTGGTGCAAGTTGTGTAATAGGTGCCATGTTCTCCTTCGCTGTAGCAGGATGTATCGTCGCAATAAAGATCAACCGCCCGTGGATGCTGTGGGGCTCAAGGAAAGTGGTTAATGGATAAACGCAACAGCTTAACTTTTCTCGAGCTCAACATCAACGGGCTCGGTAGCTGCGGGAAACAGGAGAGGTGCGGAAAGTGGATCAGAAAGGCAGCGCACATAGGTGTACTCACCGACACACGAGTTTCACAGGATCATAACTTCTGGACGCAAGTCAGGTCGGAAGCTCAGGCGGTGGTTGGCCCGTCACAGAGAGCCGGAGGGGTGGCGGTCTTGGGTTTCCTGCCAGGCATGCGGTTCACAGATGTGGTTAAGCACGAGTCTGGCCGTCTCATAAGTTTGATAATAGCATGGCGCGATCTGACCTGCAGAGTGGTGGCTGTATACTTACCTGCACAAGCACCCGCTAGGGGGGTCTTCTTTCGTGATGTACTAACGCCTTTTGTGCAGAGCCTGGGCGCCTCTCCGTATACCATACTTCTTGGCGACCTTAACATCGTTGCGGATCCAGAGCTTGACAAATCCTCAAAGCTGGGAACACCGGCGGAAAACCAGAGACTCCTGCAGATTTGTTCCAGATGGGATCTGCAAGATGCTTTCCGGAGCCTCCACCGGACCAGGAAGGAGTACACCTTCTTCTCGAGATCTGCAAAAGCAAGCACACGGATTGACAGGGCTTTAGTGTCACACTCTCTTCTTAACTGCGTAACGGAGGCGAAGCACAGAATGGTCCCATACGGATATACAGATCACTGGTTTGCGGTGTCAGTGTCGCTCAAGGCTGCATCGGCAGATGACCATGGTCCAAGGCTGTGGAGGCTTCAGGCGCCTCATGCTGGGGGCGAAGGCGTCAGGAATATCATATCGGCAGTATTGGACTCACAGGCGAATTGTCCGGACCAGGGCCTGGAGAGACTGATGACGAATCTGCGTGCAAGCTGAGAGCTCATGTAGCAGAGGAGAGGAAAAGGGTTAAGGCGACCATGGCGCACTTGGAGTTGAAGGTGGAGGAGCTCAGACGGAAGGTGATGTCAGACCCTTCGTCGCAAGCTCTGTACGAGGATCTGATAAAAAACGAAGCGGCTCTCAAGCTTTACCAGGACAACAACAAGGAGCGGCTGCAAGTTCTGACGGGGTTGCTGCAAGAGCTGGCGGGTGAGACTCCATCAGGCTTCCTCTCAGGCTTGGTCAAGTCTAGAAAGGCGAAAACCGAAATAGCGGAACTCACTTTCAATGGGGTGTTGAGGAAGGGAGCAAGCGAGGTGCTGCAAGTGGCCTCGGAGCATTTTCGGGAGGCCTACGCGCTGTCGCCGCTGTCCTCTCCCGTGGAGCCGTGGCCGATTGAAGAGGGAAAGACGCTGCAGGAGAGTGATCGCTTACAACTGGACAGCAAATGGTCAGAGCAGGAGGTGAAGGCGGCGCTTAAAGGCTTACCGACGGTGAAGGCCCCGGGGCAGGACGCCTTGCCGAAATAATTTTTCGAAAGAAATTGGGAGCTGTTGGGCCCGGCGGTGATGAGGGAAGTCAGGACTTTTGAATCAACGGGTGTGCTTTCGGAGTCTTTCACGACGGCGGTTACGATCCTTCTGCACAAAAAAGGAGACAGGGACAATTTGGGAAATTACCGGCCGATTACATTACTGAGTTTCTTCTACAAATTACTGGCGAAGGTTTTGGCGAATAGAATCAAGGTGGTCTTACCGAGAGTGATCTCCAGCAACCAGTTCGGCTTTCCTCCGGGGAGGAGTCTCGCTAACGCTGTCTCACTGGTAGCAGATACGATCGACGCTGCGGAGCAGGAGGACGAGGACTGGCTGCTATTGTTGGTTGATTTTCAGAAAGCTTACGATTCGGTATCACGGGAATACCTCTTCTCGACGCTGAGCAACATGGGCTTTCCGGGGAAGTTCACAAGATGGGTGAAGGGTCTTCACGATGGAGCGGCAACCAAGGTGCTGTTGAACGGTTGGATAGGGGAACGGGTGGTGATGGCCAAAGGGGTACGTCAGGGCTGCCCGCTCGCCCCGTATCTCTTCCTCTGCGCGGTTGAGCCACTCTGCCAAGAAATAGAACGGAGGAAACTGGGGGTCAGGAAGAGGGGTGTGAAAGGGAGTTTAGACTACATTGGATACGTAGACGACACGACATTGGTCTTGAAGGGCAAGGAACAGGTGGCGGTTGCTGAGAAACTGCTGGGGGAGTTCGCGGAAATCTCAGGGTTGAAGGCGAATCGTGATAAGACCACACTGATGCCACTGGGGAAAAACCAAAGGAGGCTGAAGCCGATAGCGTCGTCTTTCAAGTGGGCGGAGAAGAAAACGTCTGAAAGGTTGCTTGGAATCTGGATCACCTCTGGAGGCTCACCGAGACCTGCATGGGACAAGGCTTTCGAAAAAGTTAGCGCGGTGCTGAGCTGCTGGGAGACTAAACATCTCAAAACCTCGGCACGGGTTACAATCATAAACAGCTACGCGATGCCGATCCTGCTCTTCCAGGCGCAGATTTACGCCCCACCGTACGAGGTCTGGACCAAAGTGAAGAGGCTATGTCATAATTTCATCTTGAGAGGGAAAGCGCTCCTCGACAGACACTTCACGCTATGGAGCTACGAACTGTCGTGCAGAGGACGGAAAGAGGGGGGCCTGGGTGTGATTGATCTGAAGCACCGAATTGACAGCACGGTGATCCAAGGACTGGGGAAGGCCCTGGCGGAGCAGGAGCCACTTTGGAACTGGTTATGGGAGAGGGCGGCGACTTTTCCCCTCGGCTTGGCCACGATCTACGCGCATCCTTCGGTCCTGAAGTCCTGGCTGGGGGGAGGCACGAGATGGAAAGCCACTATTAAAGCGCTGTGGGACTCAAAACTGGTGACCATAGGTGACCCGGCACACAGGTGGGACGCAGAGGAGGAGCAGTTTCTTTTCAATCGTAGTATTCTCTTCAGAGGCACATCACCTTTCGGAAGCCAGGCGGGCTTGCTTTGCCTGAAGGGCATCCGATTGGGGGACTTGGTGGCAAGAGGAGGAGATGGCAGTAGATCTCGTAAGAGCGATGAGGTTCTGGAGAGGGAACTGGGAGGTGTGGAGCAGAGGAAATGGGCCCTGAAGGCGTGGGATGAGACGCCACAAGGATGGAAGGATCTGGTACTCAACCAACTGTCGGCGGAGGAACTTTTCAGGGAAACGAGGCTGGTCCGCTCTGCGTCTTACCGCCTAGGAGAGTTCTTTTACTACCAGCTGCAATATGTGAGCAACGGCGAGCTTTATGGTCGGAGAGTGACGGTGGACAAGAAAGGGAACATAGGCGAGGTGGAATATGCTAGCGTGGTAGCGGTGGAATTTCGACGCGCTTCACCCATGGCAGTCATAGAAGGGAGGGCCCGCGGTTTACTCGGCGCTCCAAGAACGCGAGTGCTCTACTCCACAATCTGTGAAAAAGGCAAGCGGGCTGATCTAAAGAAGCTGAGGAAGGCGATGAAACCCTCGGTGGCGCAACCGAAACAGCAGTTGAAGTGGGAAGAGGAGTTGGGGAGGAAGATCAGTTGGGGGAAGGCTATCACGGTCCGTGACTCACTGGCGACCCCATGCAGGGCACGGGAAGTGATACTGAGGGTGCACAGTTACAACCTCCAAGTAGGAGAACGGCTCCCCTTCTTGGGCGCGAGGGCGAAATGCATGCACTGTGGTGGAGTGGAATCGCAGGATCACTGCCTTTTCAGCTGCCCGGCGATCCAACCTGTGGTGGAGGTGATGAGGAAAGCGGTTCAGTGTATGAATCCGGGCAGGGACATGCGATCTCTCGGGGACATGCTCTTCCAAAGGAGTGGCACGTCGACTGGTTTCCCTGAGGCGGCAATCATATCCATTACAGCGCACCAAGTTTGGCTGGAGAGGTGCAACGCGGTTTTCCGAGGTAGCCGGTTTCAACCAAAGAGAGCTTTGAGGCGCATAGCACTTGGCTTCACGAGGCACGTGAAGATCTACAGCAGAGCGCGGAAGAAAACGGCTGGCAGGAATGCTTCGAAAAGGACGGGTGACTGGAGCCACATGAATGCTGACGAAGCAGGCGCTATGCGCAGGCTCTATGAGATAAAGGCCACGATGACGTGGAGAGCGGGTTTTAAGGCGATCTGGGAAGATGGTGGTGTAGCATTCCAACCTCCGTAAAAGGATAAGGGGGGCTCTGGTTACTTGGATACTTGTAGCCTCTCCATGCCCTCCTAGCAACAGTTACGACTGCGGATGTATGTATGCTGGCAGTGTACCTATATCCAAAAAAAAAAAAAAAAAAGTAATGATACTTTATTTGACTTTAGTCTGGTTATTCAATATGCACATCATTGGCTCACTAGCGTAAGTGACAGCTTGGGCCGATTGGGCTGTGGCTCAATGACCTCAATGTGTACAGTAACCGTGTCCAACACCTTGAATCCCCGCTTTCCGTCTTTTGACTCCACCGTCTGCTACTTCTTATCCACCACCCAGTCGCTTGACGTCGCAATCCCATCGATCTTGTTGGCAGCAGCAACTGCAGCAGCTTTCCCCTTGGGAGGTTCCTTGGGTACGAGATAGACTGGTCCCTCTATGCCATACCTAGAATGGGGCAAAGAAAGGGAAAATGCATCGCACTGGTTGTGCAGCAGTTGTGAGTTGTGCAAAAACAAAACACCACATAAAGTGACGCTTTTGTACATAGTATGGACACAGAAATTTTGAAGGGGAAAAAATAAAGAAAAAAATCGAAAGAAAGAAAGAGAAAGGAGTGCTGCTTACCTGGGCACGAAGACAATCAACCCATTGGAGCGAACCATCACTAGCAGACCCACCGCATTCGTTGGGCTGGAGAGGAAATGATGAGAGGAGAGTATGCGCGGAGTATGTGAGGGAGTGGAAAAAGAGATCGGCCACATGTGCAAGACAAGAGAGGTTGCAAGACAAAAGAGATCGACCACATGCTGACAGCTTACCGCGTGCGAAAGAAGATGAGCGTGTGAAGCTCCACCGATGCTCGCCCGCCATCTACGTTGGTGCTTACTGACGGTGAGTGCAGTGTTATCCTTGGTCTGATCCGGCAGCGGTGTCAACCCGATGGCTGCAGCAAGCAGCCTATGCACCACCACATCTGCATGGAAGTGGGTAAAGTAAAAATTGGGGAAGGGGGAAAGACGGATGATGGGTAAGGTTGATTGCACGTACATCACACGTTGAAATGGGTGTAAATTGGGGCAGCCAGGCCGTAGTGGTGGTACTCTGCAGGGGCGAGCTGGCCGCTGGGGAAACACACCGCCTGGGGAGATGTTGAGCGGTGGGATGAGAGGCAGGGACATGGAAAAGGGAGGGATGGGGTGGGCTGTGTGTGTGAAAGGGAAGAGAGAGGGCAAAAATTTTGGGACTAGTGGGGCCGTAATGTGAGGTGAGGGTGTTTTTGAGACGTCTCAAAAACACCCTCACCTCACGAGGGATGGGGTGGGCTGTGTGTGTGAAAGGGAAGAGAGAGGGCAAAAATTTTGGGACTAGTGGGGCCGTAATGTGAGGTGAGGGTGTTTCAGTAGAAGGAAGTAGTAGCTGCCATCCTTGGCAGCCACTCAGAACAGTCCACACAAGTCAACGTGCACAACGGCAAGGGCTTCCTCCGCATCCGAACCTTTGTCGGGGAAGGTATGCCGTGCAAGTTTGCCACCTACGCAGGAGACGCACGGCAAATCGGTCCCTGTGGAAGGCGTGATGTCCAGGCCAGTGGCAACATTGTGCTTCGCCAAGCTCTTGATGATGTCAACACCAACGTGCGCAAGCCTCGCGTGCCACCTGGGTGGCGTCGACTTCGTTGCCGAAGCAATCGTTCGCAAAGCCACCACCTCAGTCGACTTCGATGACAGCTTTGTCGAGAAGGGTTGAAGGTTGGTGCAGAGGACGCGACCGCTATAGCGTGCTCGACCGAGCACCTCCCCTGTCGCGTTGACGAGCATCGTCTCGTCACCGTCGTCCTGAAGCTGCACACCATTCTCCTTTAGTTGACCAGGTGACAGTAGGTTCGCCTGCACGCTCGGGACGTAGAGCACGTCGAGGATGAGGACCTGCTTCCCGGCCTCCCCTTGCAGAGCGACAGTGCCTCGGCCCTCGACGGTCTGCAGAGCCCCGTTGAAGCCACGCACATGCTTCACATTGCCGCTCGGCCCCATGTCGACGAAGGCCTCCTTCGTCCCCATGAGGTGGTGTGAGCAACCGCTGTCGAGCAGAACCACCATTGGATTCGCCTGCACGGCTGCGGCGACCGCTTTGAAGTCTTCGCCGGCCTCTGGTGCCAGCGAAACAGTCTGCTCCACCATGCTGACCATTGAGCAGGAAGCCTCTCTATCACCTTGCCCCTTGCCGCTGGAGGGGTCGACCTCCTTCAACGACGACGTCTTCTTTGACGTCTGCTTCTCCTTGCGCGGCTTCTCGTCCCGACTTTGACGACCGTCGGCCGACCTTCCGCG